TTTCTGTCTTCAGAGCCTGCAGTGCCCTCAGATACTTAATGCCTCAAACTGAAGTGCCAGAGAACATGCTGAAATGCTGCTTCAAGTCTGTTGTGCAATCTGGATTGGAAAGACAAGCTTGAACCTTCGTGTGAAGATTAGTCTAAAGGCATTTTAATTGTGTTCTCATTTCTATTGCAGTGAATTTTCGCATTGTTACTCTGGACAGCAATTTCATTCCACTGAATGAGGAGGTAGGCTTCTCCCCCCTATTGCCTTCTTTCTCTGATCCTGCCCTGGGGCAGAGGGTTTGTACCTAAGGAGCTGCCAGTCTAGTATCTCTCAGCAGCTGCAGGACTTTGCATGTAACCAAAGAAGAAATCCCAGCTCCCTCCTGCCAACTCCCTTCATGCTGTAACCCAGCCCTTGGCCCAGACCCAAACCAGAATCTAACTTGTGAGAGCTGCCAGCACAGAGCTGCTTACTCCACCCCAGCCACCTCATTTCCCTGAGGCATAGGGAGCTGCTCCAGGAAGCCAAATGGACATAAGGGCAGTGTCCTGTAGAATTCTGGAGAAACTGTATGGAATTAAATTAAACCTTTGTGTATAAAGTTTAGTATCTCAAGGATCTACTAAATGAATAGTTTATGTAATCTTGTGGGCCAGACATTGTACGCATTTCCACAGGAAGGATAAATACAGCTCCTCCAGGAGCTGGGAACAGTGGGGTGCTTCGGCACATTCACTCAGGCTGCAACCCCTCCAGAGAAGCACCACCATCTAGAGAAGCTCACGTATAGTAGTTCACACTGGGTTCTGCAAAGACTTGCAGACAGTTTAAACTCCAGTTTTGTGACTTGGGACTGCCTTTCTGCTCCAGCACATGGACAGAACTTCCTGTCCAAAGGGAGGCCCCAATTCTTAGGGATGACTTGATTGGACTAGGGCCTACCTAAGCCACCATAAGCCTTGGCCCTTGTGCTGAACAAAGGGTGTTAGGAGCTCCCAGCTATTGGAAAACCCCTGGGTGATGTTTGAAGGACTGGTCTCCTGCCAGAACCTTTGCCGGAGTTGGGGGTAACCTCTGGTTAGCTTATTAGCATGTGGGTTCTTCTGTGGTCAATGTGTTTTCTTTGTAATGTTTTCAGTATCATATGCACTTGCTTTGAAAAAGCTATGTAGACTCACTGTGATAATTACACTACAGAGAAGGCACAACAGGACTTTTCAGACAGCCCGACTTTGCTGGAGGTATCACAATGTAGGCAGGGAACTGTTCAGCCTGGAAATAACCTGGTTAGGAGCAAGAGAGACGGGTGTCTCCAACCAAGAGAGGTGGCTGCTGGGGAGCCGGGAGCCTAGCAAACTTGTCTTTGCTGGACAAGGGAAGGGAACACAGGGAAGTTTCTTAGAGCTATGACAGAAACACGGTCCCTGAAGCTACCTAGGAAATGGTTTAAAGCACTATTAGCATAAAACTAAAACAGGGAAGAACAGCCAGTCAAGCTGAGGAAAGCACATAAGGCTACTAAACAGTAGGGGTATGTCTAGACTACAAGTTTTGTTGACAGAAGTTTTGTCGGCAGATTCTGTTGACAAAGCTTCTGTCCACAAAGAATGTCTAGACTACAGCCAGTTCTGTCGACAAAGCAAGCTGCTTTGTCAACATGACAGTGTAGATGCAATAACACCTTCTGTTGACAGAACTCTGTCGACAACAGATGTTGTTCTCGTAGAATAAGGTTTACAGCCGCCAACAAAACTGCTGAGTTCTGTTGACTTTTTTTTTTTTTTTTTAAAAAGCAGCAGTCTAGATGCGGATCTGTCGAAAATAAAGTCTTTTTCAACAGATCCTGTATTCCTCAAAAAATGAGGTTTACAGGATCTGTCGAAAAAGGCTTTATTTTCGACAGATCCATGCCTAGACTGCCATTTTTTAAAAAAAAACTCTGTTTCAAAAAAAAGCGGTGGCCATGTTTATGCCAATGAGGCATGGGATATTTAAATCCCTACTTCATTAGCAATTTCAATGTGCCTAATCTACATCTCTCTGTCTACAGAGAGGTGTAGTCTAGACACACCCAGGGACTGTGCGCGATGTTGAGGTAACATTTGGAAGCTCTGAACAGGGGATGTGGATTTGTTAACTGGATTCGTACAAGCCTTGTGAGAACATCAGGGCTGATCTGAGTTCCTGTTGCTGGGCTGGTCAGATCATTATGGTAACAAAACCTGTGCCAGGCCTGTTGTAGTCACACCGCACTCTGGCAATGGAGGGACAGAACTTGCATGCTCCTGCTGTGAATGTCCAGGCCCTGAGCACAGCCAGTAGAGTTTAGAGTAGGGATGGATTTGACCTCAGCTCTCAGGGTGGAGGAGGTCCCCGCGCCCATGCAGCAGTTTGTTCCCCCGCAATCACGCAGAGTTCACTAATGAGAGTTCTGTCTGCTTTTCTCTTTCAGTACCCGCTGGTGGAGCTGAAGGTCAGTGCATACTCAGATGCCTCTGTTCTCCATTCCCTCCCCTTCTCAGAAAAACAAGGGAGCAAGACTGAGACTCACTCAGGTCTTCTGTATGTCACTGCTGAGCCTTGTTCCTGCAGCTCTCAGCTGTGAGAGCCATGGAGTGGAACTCGGGTGTCCTGCACAGCAACACACAATAACCCCAAGAGGTGCCAGGCTGGGCCCTGTCACTATTGCCATCTTCCCACCAGTGGTCAAGCAAGAGCAGGGCCAGAGACTAGAAACAGGGTCTCTCACACAGCAGCAGAGATTGCTACTCCCTAGAGAGACTCAACCTGCCTCCTTCAGCAGCTCCTGCCAAGCCAGCCTCAGTTTCCCACACCACAGTGCAGAGCACTAGTTGGATGGGGTGAGTGTTCCCTGTAAGCTGAACACTTGGGCAGCTGCCCAGCCGATTACCAGAGCACCCACTGTCAGCAGTATGTGTTTCTATTGATGGTGCACATCCAGACATGCCTCAGTGCACAGAATAACATTTATTCTGCACAGGGATGGAAAAAAATTAGAGGAGACTTTGCTTGGAGTGGCCAAGTCCAGCTTCCACAGCTTTCTCCTTCCAACCAGTCCAGGGAGAGCAAGGGACCAGGCTGGGGAATCAAATTCAAGTCACCCATGTTAAAGAACAGTGTTAACTCCTAGGGCTCCCCGAGCCCAGTGTCAGCAGCAATTCTAGCCCCTATCACCTACAGGAGCAAGAGAGCATGTTGGGGAATGGGAGCCAGATCTCCCACCCACCAGTGCAGGGCATGACCCCAGAGGGTAGAGGGTTCAGCCTATGCAGTACTCTCAGCCTGTACTGGCCCAAGAAGAGCCAGAGCCAGGTCTGGAACCCTGCTCTCCTATGATTGTGCAGGGCACCGTCAACCTGCAGCAGAGGATGGGAAACTGATGGATGGATGCATGGAGTGTCTGGCACTGCTGCTGCTCAGGGCCACCTACAGGGAGATGTGGAGGGAACCCCTGGAAGTTGGTGGAGCTGGGAGTGTACAAGGAGGGGTCCCCTGGGAGCCAAGGGCATGAGATCAGGCCCCCTAAGACAGACTCACTGATATCTTATTTCCCCTGCACTGAGTTCCCAGTATCTTCTATTTCCTTTCCAACCTGGAAGAGGCTGGTAACTCCCAGCAGCTGGCTGAGACATTGCATTCCCCTTCCGTTGGATGGCCTGGCTTTCATTCAAGCTGCCCAAGGAAAGAGGAGCTGTGGCAGGGAAGAGCTGGTTTCCAGAGTGCAGAGGAGAGGTTGGGAGGAGTCTCGACCATTACATGGGGCAGTGTTGGGGTCTCCTGTCTCACTCAAGACCAGGGATGAGGGCAATTCTTGCTGTGTTGCATCAGGACTGGGCTAGTGAGGAGGGGTTCAACATCCTTGCAGCTCCCCCTAGCTACCGCACCCTGGATGGGGCCAGAGCTGTCCATGTGCAACCGCCACCAAGTGAATTTGAACCTGGGACCTTTGGAGCTTAGTATAGGAACCTCTACCCTCTGAGCTAAAAGCCAGCCGGCTCCCAGCCCATGCTGTAGAGGTCTCTTGATCTTATCTGTTGCTGTGGTCTAGGTGCCACTGCATGGGGCAGTGAACCACACTAGGTGTGTGGGTTACACATTCCCTTGCTCCATCCCCTCTGAGGCCCTGCCCCTGCTCACTTCATCCCCCCCCCCCCCTTTGTCTCTCACTCCCCACCCCCACTCACTTTCACCAGGCTAGGGCAGGCGGTTGGTGAACAAGAACGGGCGTGTGCTACAGGCTCTGGGAGGGCGTTTGGGAGTTGGTTACGTGATTTAGGCTGGGACAGGGGATTGGGAAGGAGGGAGACAAGGTGAGCACTTACCCCAAGCGATGCATCTCCCGGAGGTACATCCCCTCCCACAGGACACTTTGTTTCCCCTAGGTGGGAGGGACCGGGGGTCTCAGGGTGCTGTTGTCTGCAAGTACCACCCCAACAGCCCCCACTGACCGCAATTCCCAGCTAATGGGAGCTGTGGAGTCTGTGATCAGGATGGAGGTAGCACAAAAAGACCACCTGCCATCCCCCAGGGGCCATGGGGAGAGTGCTGGCCACTTCTGGGGGGAAGGGAGTCTGCTTTCACTCCACTCCTGCTATGGACTGTCAGGGCCCAAAACCTCCCAGTTTGGCTGGGGTAGCTTCTGGGAGATGCCTGGCAAAAGCGGAAGGGCTGCCAACCCTAATTTGATTCTTGTTTCAATCCTTGGAGTCAGGATCCTGAAAGTAACCGGATTGGCCAATGGCTTAACGTGAAACCAAAGCAAGGCATTGTGCAGTTGTCCTTCCAGCTGGCAGCCGAGCCATCCCTTGGAACATACACCATTAATGTGGACAGCAGAAAGAGTGCCAGTACCTTCAGCGTGCAGGAATACGGTATGGAGGGGCGATTGGCATGCAATCCAGGGTGCACCAGGAGCCCTTGACTTTTTGACCGTCTCAGGAGAGCTCTCTCCTTGTCTGAAGGGCCCTACGTGGATGCAAAATTTGTGTCTTCATCTGCATCTCTGTCTGCAAAACTGAGCCTCTAATATCCACATTGACATCTGCGGATGCAGATAGCCGTGGGTTTGCAGGACTCTACTTATCTGACCCTGAGACAGACTGTACAAGAGAACACTTCCACTAAAGCCGGTGTGTCCAACCAGTTCTATAGTGGCTACTATTAGAACAAACTAGCCACACTCAACTGGCCAAATGGCCACATGAAGCTGGTGGCTAGAGTGTTGGACACCAATGGCTCTAAAGAGTATCCCCCTTCTCTTCAGGAGAATGCTGGCTCTCTGGGTACGGTTCATCCCCACAACACCCACACGTACACACGCTGCTCCCTGAGCCAGGTGACAGTAACTCAACCGCCTTCCTTTCTTAACGTCTTGCATCTCCTCCTTCAGTGCTGCCCAAATTCAAAGTGACTGTGATTGAGCCCACTCAGATCTTCACATCAGATGCATTGTTTCCATTGAAAGTTTGTGGCAAGTATGTTTCAGAGGGCTCTTGCAATGGGAGGGCACAGTTAACCTGTACATGTAAGGGGTTAGCGTTGTGTTTCTGAGAGGGTCTGAGTTGTGGTAAGGGCTTTCAGGGAAAATGTGAAAGCACTTACAGTGCCTTCCGACTCCTCTTCCAAGAGGAAGTCTGTCCATTCTGTAGCTCCACTAAAACACCTTTCTGTCATGGTGTCCTCTCCAGTGCATGGATGGAGTAGAAAAGAGCTGGGAGTTTATTTGGGGACACCTCTGCAGAGCTGTTTGGGAAAGCAAGGACTACAATTAGCACAGGGACTGCAAGAGAGGACTAAGGGACTGTTGGGGAGCCCAGGACTGGAATAGCAGGGGGCTGCAGGGGCACTGGCAGGGCTGTGAGAGGAGCCTGAGGCTGGAATAGCAGGCACATACACCATGGCGCAAAGGAAGACAGTGGAAGTCGACTAAGAACATTATTTCCCATTTCCCTTCTCTGCCAGGTACACCTATGGAAAGCCTGTCCAGGGTACAGTGCAAGTCTCTTTGTGTCAGACAGTGTATACTTGGTACAGGAGAGAGTCAGAGTCCACAGACATCTGCCGGAACATCACAGGCAAGGTGAGGAGGGAACTGGGACTTGCTCTAATGGAGATGTAGGAGAATCTAGGGCAAGAAGAACAGCACAGGGAGAGATTCTGACCAGGAGCAGTGGATGCTTTGGGAAGGACCCAACTGCACAGTTCCCCTCAAGCCACACTGGAGCATTTCCCTTACTACTGCTGTCTTAAGGACTGAAGTGCCTCCTGCTGACTTCTCCACACTTGGTAGCACGTTGCATGTTTCCCATCCACACTCTGAGAGAGCCTGCCTTTGCTTAGCTTCTGAGCTTTGACCAGATCACAGGGTGGCTGTTCCTTGTTCTTTCAGTAGTCAGCAAGTTTCCTCACTGCTCATTGTCTCTTTTCCAGACTGATAAGACTGGTTGTTTCTCAGCCTCTGTGGACTTGGCATTCTTCAGGCTTGAGAGTCCTGCATACAGCCAGAATATAAATGTGGTAGCCACTTTGGTGGAAGCTGGAACAGGTAAATCCTAGGATTTGCAGAGCCTGGTGTGAGGGAGCATGGGTGTTTGCTTTGTGTCTCTTCCTATAACAAAGGGTGCTGGAAGTAGAGTGGTCTCTTGAAGGGACTGAATGACCTTTAACACGTAGTGTTCTTGAGGTGTGTGCAGGCATGTTTTTTGCCTGCCTCACTGGCCACTATGGCTTGAGCCATTTCCCACAATTAGTCCTGCTCTATAAATATTATTGGGAGTGTGGATTGTTTCATTGGCCACTGATGGACCATGTCTTTGAGGGGGGGGAAATATAGTCAGGAGACTGTTCTACCAATCAGAGTGCAGTCTTTAGCCATGCGCTCATTCACAGATTGTCAACATGGGGATCTCATATGGGTTGAGGGTAGGAGGGTCCTGGCTTGCCTCCCTCTCTTGCTTTATGGCTAGATGGAAGGGGTTGTCCCAGAACGTTTCTATTATAACCTGGTGTAGCAGCATGAGTCAGACAACTGGGTTAATTCACTGGCTCCTTGTGCATCTTGTCTTTTCTCCCATAGGTGTGAAGGCAAACGCTACTCATGTTGTATTTATATCACAGCAAGCTGGGTCAATGAGCTTTGAGGATTCAGACAATTACTACCACCCTGGGTACCCCTACAGCGGGAAGGTAAACTCCACATGGGCAGCCAAAGTATGGGCCTTTACATAGTGCCTCTGGGGGTGACACACACAGAGGAGCCTGAGGTGTTACCTCATAGAAATTTCCCCTAAAGTTTACCTCTGTCTATTCTGCAACCCTGCCCCTCTCCTTGGGAGGGGTCAACCTGCTCTGAGCTTTCTCAGCTCCACTAAGAGTGTCTCACAGAGATTCCCCATTGCTGTCATTCTCTCCTCAAGAGTAGGTTTTGCTGGTTGAATGTGTGCACGAGTCTCCCTTCTCTCTCTGCAGATCAAAGCTCTGGACCGAGATGGCTCCATATTCAAGAAGCAGACTGTTTTCTTGGTTATTAATGTTGGGAACACCCAGTCCCACCGAAAACTCACCACTGATAGCACTGGAATGGCTGCTTTCACTCTGAACACCGCTACCTGGAATACAAGTGAGGTGTCTCTGCAGGTGAGCTATCAGTGGACGTCTTATGTGTGGTGCGTTCCAGGGATGCATCCAGGAGGTGACAGAGATGTCGGGTACTGGCAGGGCTTCCCACAGTTTCCTTTGTGGATGCCCTAGCTGTTCCCTTCTCCAAGTCTCTCAGGCCCTTGATCTGAGGGCAATTCACTCTCAGATGGGCTGTTGCCTTATAATGCAGAGCTCCTCTGAGGTAGGGTGATTCCCTTAACTCTGTACATTCTGCCATCCTAAAATCTCTTGCTATTTCAAGTGGAGGGGATGTGATTCCTTTCCCCTCCTGGGGCCGTGTTGTGTTATGCTGCTGGTGCCGAATGGCTCCTGAGAGCCAGCTACATTTCATTAGTGGGTGAGTGACTCCAGGGTACACAAAGCCCAGTTTTCAAAGATTCCCAAGCGGACGTCTCATGTGTAGCCCAAGGACAACCAAATCCAAAGATATGGATGAATTTTCATCATCCTTGAAAACTGATTGGTTAGACATACAGAAAAACAAATGCCAGCCATGCAGATAAGTGGCTCCTGCGGAAGCCAATTATCTGTTGATAGAAATCCATGTTTTTAGACCTCCAAGAAGCCTGCTGGCTTCCTGTTCTTATTGGCATAGCTCTCGTGTGTTAAGGGTGGATAATGTAGGACAGGGACTTTCCAAACCGGATCAGTTCTGTGATCCAGCTACTCCACTACTCTGTCCGTGACAGTGGTTAATACCAGATGCTTTAGTGGAAGCAAGAAATCCCATAATGGACAACTATGTATAACCCACACATCTCCTGAGTGTGGTTTGCTGTCCCATCTAGTGGCACCAACACCACATACAGGGAGAATAATGAATCTGCTCTATAGCCTTAGTTACCAGCCAAGTCACTGATTGTGCAGTAGATGCTCATACACTAAGCTCCAGAGATCTGCAGGTTGATTCTGCTGTAAACCAATGGATTCCAGAGGTGTGTGTGTTCCCTTTTATTTAACTCTCAGGGTGCTTCACAGCCGTCTCTTTAACAACTCTTCACCCCCTCTACTCCCCCCCCCGGGAGTCGTTGCCCGCCCCAGTCTGCACAGGCCCAGTCCCAGTCCCAAACCCTCCACCAGTTTTCTTGACCGCAGGTGGCCGCCCGCCCCAGTCCAAACGGGTTGCGTCCAAAGCCTTCCCCTAGTTGTCCCACTGTCTTTCAATTATTACACCTCTGGCACCCTTCTTGAGGCATGCCGCCTTCATAGTACCGCAAGACAATTGTTGGTGGTGGGGTAGGTGGCCCAGACACACCCTCAATCTTGGGTCCCGGCCCAGGGCCCTAAGGCAGGGATTCTGACTTCCCTTGCCTGGCTGATAGGGGAGTTCCCCTAAACTTGCCAGCCCACGGGCTTCACGACCCCGCCCTGGGCCACTTCCTATCCACCTATGGGTGCCAACGTATCTCCATTGGATGCTGCACCCCGTCTGACCATGCCTTCAGCACCTCTGCTCCCGGACCCCCAGGTTGCTTTACTGATTCTCCTCCTCCTCCTCCTCCTCTTCCTGGGCCGAGCTCCTTGCTCTCCCCATCTTGGGTCTTCCTGGACCCTTTTAAGCCACCCACCGCCACTTCAGCGGGTGACGTCACTCTCCTGCGCTGGGCAAGCGATGACGTCCTCTCCCCCCTCTTGCTGCAATGGCGGGTGACGTCACCAGCCTGCGCTGGACAGACGCAAGCGGCACACCACCGCCTCTCCGCCTGCTTTCCCCACAGTGCTGGGATGGCACTCCTGAAAGTGCAGGGATTGCCAGCCCCATCACATCTGCTCACAGATGACCAGAGTCTGTTAGTATTACCTATGCACTTACTATCCATAGATAAGATTTCTTCTAATTTCAAGTATCAGAAGTGGGTCTTTGCCCATGAAAGCTTATGCTCCAACACTTCAATTAGTCTATAAGGTGCCACAGGACTCCTCGCTGCTTTTCCTAATTTCAGGCAGTTACAAAATGGCTTATAGCCTGAAGCTGGTTGCTGTCTATAAAAATGTACATTTGTTACATATACATGCCATTTCAGAGGCTTATGGTTCATTTTCATGTTTCATCATAAATCTTCTGGAATCCAACCCACTTGCTTTAAAGCACTCTGGGACTGATGTATGACTGCCCCAGAAAACAGGCCCTCTGCTTTAAAGCTCTGGCCTCTAGTTTTTAGACTGGAGTAAAATCGGTTAGGTGTAAAATACAGGTTGAACTGTCTAGTCTGGCACCCTCAGGACCTGACGGTGAACTAGAGAACTTGCTGAACCAGGGGAGGTCAGTATAGTCTAGCAACATTGCCCACACTTCCACTGCTTGCTGGGCTCTTAGAAGATATTTAGGGGTAAATTAGAGCTAAATAACAGCACAGAACACTGAGAGCTATGACTGGTGGCTTTAAACAAACTTTATGGGACTGCGGGAAACTTGGCCACATCCATGATAAATGGACATCTGGCTAACTAAAATCATGCCAGGCTGTGGATGTTGCCGGACCAGAGTACTGGACTAGAGAGATTCAACACAAAATATTGACTGCACCTAGAAGAGGGCAGTGTATATAGACATACACTGGACAGAACATTATCAGCACTCTGGAGTGATGTTGTCATGATTACCTTTATTTCTCTTCCAGGGAAGGTTCAAGCTTCTCAATCCAGAGTATGAGCATACAAGGACCAATCTGTACTATCTGAATGCTTATCTCTACCTGAAGCCATATTACACCACCACCAAGAGCTACCTCAAAATTCAGCAGCTGCGGGGCGTGCTGCCCTGTGGCCAGGAGCAGATGGTTCAGGTGGATTACCAAATTAACCAAATGGATCTGAGAGGCCAATCCAGTGAAATCCTCTTCTCCTACTATGTGAGTGTCTAGGCAGGCCGGGGATTGGGACAGAGATTGTGGGAAGTGCTCAGTGTGGGTCTCAGAGCAGGAGTAAGCTGTACCATGGTGCTAGGTATAGCTCTCATCCAGTGTGATGTACCCCCGGAAGCACTGAAGCACAGCATTCTTTCCTCAGTTCTGCCCTTGCATAGCTCCTCCAGACAGCCCAGCCCAGCCCAGCCCCGCCTCTGCTACCTGGCAATTCCTCCTCCTCCCCTGTGGCTACCTCTAGACTGCAAAAGCAATGTTGCGTCCAAGGAATGCATCCGCTTTTTCAATGTTTTTTCCAAAGAACGGCTGTGCTCTTTCGCCATCCCTGTAAACCTCATTGTACGGGGCATAAGGGATGGCTTGAAAGAGTACTTTCTTTTGCAATTTGGTGCCATGTAGATGCACCAAATTTTGAAAGAGCCTCTTTTGAAAGTAAATCAGAAAAAGATACAAATTTGCATAACACAAATAGCGTATCTTTTCCTAATTTTACAGTGCAGTCTAGACGTAGCCTGTGATTGGAAAGCAAATCCCATGCCTGTCATTTTTGCAGTTCCCCAGCAAGGGCCCCAGCCTAATTCTTTCCTGCTGGTTCAGTCCCCTCTGCCTGCTCCCCACCAAATCTGGCTCTGGTTCTCACAAATATCTGCTCCTGATGGACCCACCTTTCTCACTGCTGGAAGACCTCCCAATCACCTCAGATACCTAGTTGCTACCTGATATGCCCCTTGCATGCTGGATTCAATCTCTCTATGAACCCTCTTTCCCAGTCCTCTGGGGACATTTTCTTCCAAGTGATCTGCCTCTTCCTGCTGTCAGTTCTTGAACCAATATGCCCAATGCTAGAACCATACCCAGTCTCCCTCTCCCTACAAAATGTGCAGTTCCCCCATAGGAGGCCTCTTCTCTCTGGGATATACAAGCCCCTTCCTGGCTGCCAAAACCTTACCATAACCTGCTTTCCTTCCTGCCTGAAATCCTCTCCTCTCCCTGAGCTAGTATGCCTCATGTTCCTTCACCCAGCCTGTGGGTGGTAACCTTTGGTCTGTGGTGTTTGGGATTTGGGAAGATGTGGGAGAGGATGCCAGACTTGAATGCCTCCTAAGGTCTCTCTTTGTGTCTCCCCTCCTCCTCCTCTAGGTGATGGGGAAGCAGCGGCTCCTTCTGAATGGTCAGAAACGTGTTGCCATCAAGAAGAATGGTGGTAAGTCAACATCCGCCTCTCCCAAATGGGAGAGCAAAACCCCTGCAAAACCCCTGGGCCCTAGTGACAATTCTGAGTCATGAGGGTGGCACTGAGGGAGGCAGTGTGGAATGGGTTGAAAGGGAGAAGGAAGGCTCAGGGAGGAGTTGAGATGGGCAGAAGGAGACTGTTAGATCTACTGATACCCTCACCTCTTCCTCTCTCCTTCTAGGGCAGAGGGGCGCTTTCTCCATTCCTGTCACCTTTACCTCCAGCTTTGCTCCCCACCCCTCCTTGGTGGTGTATGCCATGTTCCCTGATGGGGGAGTTGTTGCCGACAAAGTCCAGTTCACGGTGTCCATGTGCTTCAAGAACCAGGTGAGACTCCAGCATTGCAGGGAGGCTTGGCATCGATGCAGGCAGAGGGGAGGTGGGGAGCATAGAGGTTAAGTCATTTCAGTGCATGACACATACACAAACAGAAAATGGAACTTAGATGCCAGCAGAACCACAACTAAACCCTTAACATTTCCCTTGAACACAGGGATCATTTTTCTCTAATTCATCCCTCTTCTCCCCGCGTCCCTTGCCCCATTCACTCCTCTCTAATGGGCTTTCCCCCTTTGGAATCCATCTGTCCAGGTCAACCTAGAGTTCTCGCAGCAGCAGGACCTACCGGGGGCAAGTGTGAATCTTCAGCTGAGCGCAGCTCCCAACTCGCTGTGTGCCATCCGAGCTGTGGACCAGAGCATCCTGCTTCTGAGGCCAGAGAGGGAGCTCTCCAATGGCAGTGTGAGTGACTGACTCACTGCAAGGGGCTGAGGGGTGGTGGAGGGGGAAGCTGGAGGGAATGCGGATGCCTTTATGGGGGGAAGGGGTTGGAGATGGGTGCTGCAGGAAGGGGTAAATGGGAGTGTCTGTCTCTGCCCTTGTTGTCAGCCCTTTGTTTTCTCGGGCCACGTGTGGTTCTGCAGGTGTATGGGATGTTCGATTTCTCAAATGGAGGTTACCCCTATCAAGTTGATGAGTACGATAGCTGCTATTTACCAAGACCATTTCCAATGCCTGACGTCAACCCTGTGCCAATGGACAACAGAGGACGTTCCTTCATGCCATATCCTTGGTTTAGCCAAGGAGTTGACTTCTTTAGCTTCCTAAAGGTGGGTGCCGTCACACTCTTCACCAGCCTCTCCTTAGCACGAGAGAAAAGGAGAAGCCTACATTCTGAGAGACAGGGCTCAATACAACTATATTAGACACAGCCTGAGTCAGACCAAAGGTCCATCTAGCCCAGTATATCCTGTCTGCCGACAGTGGCCAATGCCAGGTGCCCCAGAGGGAGGGAACACAACAGGAAATCCTCACGTGATCCCTCTCCAGTCATCCATTTCCAGCCTGTGACAAACAGAGGCTAGGGACAACATTCCTACCCATCCTAGCTAATAGCCATTGATGGATCTAACCTCCATGAATTTAGCTCTTTTTTTAACCCTGTTAAATTCCTAGCTTTCATCACATCCTCTGGCAAGGAGTTCCACAGTTTGACTATGCACTGTTTGTTCTAAACCTGCTACCTATTCATTTCATTTGGTGGCCCCTAGTTCTTATGTTATGGGAACAAGTAAATTACTTTTCCTTATTCACTTTTTCCACACAAGTCATGATTTTATAGACTGCTATCATATCCCCCCTTAGTGTCCTCTTTTCTAAGCTGAAAAGTCCAAGTCTTTTTAATCTCTCTTCATATGGAACCCGTTCCAAACCCTTAATCATTTTTGTTGCCTTGTTCTGAACCAGTTCCAATTCTAATATATCTTTTTTGAGATGAGGCAACCACGTCTATACACAGTAGTCAAGATGTAGGTGTACCGTGACTTTATACAGAGGCAATAAGATATTCTCTGTCTTATCCTCTCCCTTTTTTAATGATTCATAACATTCTGTTTGCTTTTTTGACTGCCTCTGCACAGTGAGTGGATGTTTTCAGAGAACTATCCACAATGACTCCAAGATCTCTCTCTTGAGTAGTTGTAGCTAAATTAGTCTCCATCATATTGTATGTATAGTTGGGATTATTTTTTTCCAGTGTACATTACTTTACATTTATCGACATTAAATTTCATTTTCCATTTTGTTGCTCAGTCATTTAGTTTGAGATCTTTTTGAAGCTCTTCACAATCTGTTTTGGTCTTACCTATCTTGAGCAGTTTGGTATCATTAGCAAATTTTGCCATCTCACTGTTTACCCCCTTTCTCCAGATCATTTATAAATAGGTTGGAAAGGATTGGTCCCAGGAGGGACCCTTGAGGGACACCACTAGTTTTCTCTCTCCATTCTGAAAACTTACCGTTTATTCCTATCCTTTGTTTCCTGTCTGATCAGGTCAGGTGGTTGATAATCTAGCCCTACTGCTATATTCTTATTATTGGAGCATAGAATTACTATCCATAGAGATAATATGGAACATTTTGGCTCATTTAAGATTTTTACTTCATTTGATTCTGCATTTTCTTTCATGTATAGTGGCCACTGCCCCAGCAGCATGACCTGTTCTGTCCTTCCGATATATTTTGCCCTGGTATGACTGTGTCCCATTGATTGTCCTCATTGCACCAAGTTTCCATGATGCCTATTATATCAATACCTTCCTTTAATACGAGGCACTCTAGTTCACCCATCTTATTATTTAGACTTCTAGCGTTTGTGTATAAGCACTTTAAAAATCTGTCACTATTTATTTGACTTCCATTTCCTGATGTCTGAAGAAGTGGTCTCTGCCCATGAAAGCTCATGATGCCATCTACATGTTTTGTTAGTCTTTAAGGTGCTGCTAGACTATTTGTTGTTTTTAAAGTTTTTCCAGTTACAGACTAACTTGGCTACCCCTCTGAAGCTTATTTCCTGATGTGTTAGACTCTTTTTCATTTGGCTGTTCCTCATCTGATCTGACCCATATTTTATCATCTTCCATCCTCTCCTCCTGACTAGAACATAGAATCTATTAATAGATTCTCCCCTGAGAGATGTCTCTGTCCGATCCATGTTCTCCCCCATACCCGTCGGCTTTCCCCCAGCCCTTAGTTAAAAAGATTGTAGAGCAGTTTTTAAATAATTAAAAAAAACCAACAACACACAACAACAAATGGTTTCTGTAACCGACTAACTCAGCTATCCCCTGAACCTTTTTAATGTTAAGTGCCAGCAGTGTGCTTCCATTTTGGTTTAGGTGAAGCCCATCCTTCCTGTATAGGCTCCCCCTATCCCCAAAGTTTCCCCAGTTCCTAATAAATCTAAACCCCCACTCTCTACACTATCATGTCATCCACACATTGAGACTCTGAAGCTCTGCCTTCCTACCTGGTCCTGTACGTGGAACCAGAGAGTGTTACCATAGAGGTCCTGGTTTTCAATCTCTTCCCAAGCATCTTAAATTTGGCCTCCAAAACCTCTTCTCCTACCCTTCCCTACGTCATTGGTACCTATATGTACCACAATCACCTGCTCCTCCCCATCACTACACATAAATCTATCTAGATCAGTGTTTCTCAACCTTTTTTTAATAAAGTACCCCTTTACAAAAATTATAAGTACCCCCAGTACCTACAATTTTCAGACACAAGATTGTTTTCTACCATTGCAACACATTTGTTTTAACAACTTAATCTCCGCCAGGCGGGCGATGAATTTTTGGGTATAAAAAGTACAAAAATAATAAAACGTTGTAAAACTTAAAACAAAAATTCAGTTTTCTCCAAATTTCAGTTGTGTTGACATACCCCCCAGACTTCTCTTGAGTACCCCAAGGGTACTCGTACCACTGGTTGAGAAACACTGATCTAGATGTTTCGAGAGATCCACAACCTTTGCACCGAGGCAAGTCATCATATGGTTCTTGCAGTTGTTGCAAACCCAGCTGTCTATGTATCTAATGATTGAATCCCCCATTACTAACACCTGCCTTTTTCTAATGCCTGGAGTTCCCTCCCCCAGAGAGGTATCCTCAGTGTAAGAGAATATCACAACATCCTCTGGAAGGAGGGTCCCAACTATGGGATCATTTCCTTCTACTCCAATTGACTGTTCTCCTTCTCTGAGCCTTTCATCTTCCTCAACAGCACAGTGGCTGTCTCGCCAGAGGTGGGACTGTTCTGCGGTGTCCAGGAAAGCCTCATCTACACACCTCTCTGCCTCCCTTAGCTCCTTCAATTCAGCCACCTTGGCATGCAAAGCCCGTACGCAGTCTCTGAGGGCAAATGCACACATACACCACCTATCCAAAGGGCAGGTAGTCAGACATGCTACATTGGTGCAGTAAACAGGACAGCCCCCAGTCTGATGCTGGGCTTCTGCCTGCATTCTTTCCCACAGAGAATTAGATTCTTGAGAGAGGTTTTATTTCAATCAGGTAGTTTGGTTTTAGTTTAGTTTAAAAGTTTTAAAGAATGCTGAGTGTATCTAGCCCCTCTTAACTTCCTCACAAAATGTGCCTGGAACTGCAGATCTGCTCTAAATGTTGTCTCTATTAAAACTGCACCCTGTCCTTCCATCTCTGACTCCAGAGCGGTTTTACTCTGTGAAGATTTAAGAGTGGAGTTGGGTTGGTTTTTTCCTTCTCATGCATCATCATCATTAATCATAAAGATCTGCGTTCCCAGCCCCACCTTGTCCTGGATATACGAGTCAAATTAATCCCTGACATATTACATAAGAACAACCATACTGAGTCAGACCAAAGGTCCATCTAGCTCAGTATCCTGTTTACCAGTAATGGCCAATGTCAGATTCCCTAGAGGAATAAACAGAACAGGGAATATCAAGCGATTCATCTCATCATGCATTCCCAGCTTCTGTCAAACAGAAGCTAGGGACATCATTCCTACCCATCCTGGCTAATAACTATAGATGGACTTAGTCTTCAAGAATTTATCTATTCTTTTTTGAATCCAGTCTTCATAACATCCTCTGGCTAGGAGTTCCACAGATTGTCTGTGTATTGTGTGGAGAAAAAAACCCTTCCTTTTTGTCTGTTTTAATCCTAGTCCTATTAATTTCATTTGGGTGATCCTTAGTTCTTGTGTTATGGAACCAAATATAATATAATTTTCCTTATTTACTTTCTCAATACTCATCATGACTTTATAGACCTCTCCTATAGCCCCCCAATCTCCTCTTCTTTAAGATGAAAAGTCCCAGTTTTATTACTCTCTTCTGACATAGTAGCCATTCCAAACCCCTAATAATTTTTGTTGCCCTTTTCTGAACTTTTTCCAGTGCCAGGGTATCTCTTTTCAAATGAGGCAACCACATCTACATGCAGTATTCAAGATGTGGGCATAGCATGGATTTACAAAGAGGCAATAAGATATTCTCTTTTACTCTATTCCCTTTTTAATGATTCCTAGCATTCTATTTGCTTTTTTGACTGCTGCTGCATATTGAGTACATGCCATTGAAGCTAGAGGAGTGGCACGTAGGGCTGTGTTTTAATATAAAAGTCTCTAAAAGCAGGAGGGATTGATAGGGGGGAGTTTTGAGTTGTCCAATTGCAAAAAGGTGTGAGGTTTTTTGTTTTTAGCAGAAAAAATGCTGTTCTTTGAGAGCTTGCTCACATCAATTCCATTTTTAGGTGTGTGTCTGTACCCACATGCACAGTTGTCAGAAATTTCTGCCCTACTGGTATCCATAGGGCTGTTGTGGCACCCCCTGGAGTGCTGCTCCCATATGGCAGTATATCAGGCACTGCCGACTCCATGCCCTGTCTGGTTCTTCTTACTAGCCATGACAGATATTTGAAGCTCCTTGTCTTGCTTCCTAAAAGCCACAGCAGTTACTTATTCATTGACTTGGTTTAGTTATTGCTGTATGTAGTTTCTGAAATAGTTAATAGTATCGGTTAGAGGTGACTCAGTTGCCAGAAGTCAGGGAAGCCAGAAGCAGTCACTTTGAGGGTGCGCTTGAAGACGGTGCCCCAGCCAAAAGAATGGATTGAACCCTTCCTGTCTTTAGTCACCTCCATCTTTCTGGTCAGTCTGGTCCTGTGTCACTTCAGACCATTGGGTGCTCGATACAGCTTCTTTGGCTTACACCCTGCAACTTAAACCTCCCACCCCACTTCCACATCATTCCTCAGGGACCCTTCTCATGAGCAACCACTGTTTCAGGAGGTCAGAAGTGTCCTGTAACTAGGGGTAGTGGAAAAGATTCCTTGGAACTTAGAAAGATGAGGATTTTATTCCTGCTACTTCCTAATTGCAAAGGAAAAAGGGGCCTCAGAGCCCTGTAAACATGCAGGTCCTCAATAAGTCTCTCAAGAAGTTTGAAGTTTTGTGTGGTCTTCCTGGCCTCAATCAGCCCCACCCTGCATCTGGGAGACTTTTAAGCGGCCTTCAATTTACAAAATGAACGCTTGCATATTTTCATCTTCCCAGGGCACCAGTGCTCATTCTGCTTCATGCTTCCGTTGCTTCCAGTGCCATTTCCAGTTCATAGCAGTGCCCTGGGATCTCTCATTCGTCCTGAGTGTGTTCAAAGTATATAGCACCAAAGGCCACTTACCTGATGTCACGGAGTTCAAATGTACCCATACCTCAATGACTTGTTGGTTGATAAGGGGCCAGTCTCCAGATCAGATATGGAGGCATCTTGCCCTGGTATGTTCCACCTGTGGTGACCTGGAATTGATAATATATGAGAGAAAGTCAACCTTAATCCTGTGCCACACAGAGAATTCATAGCAGTAAACCTTGATTCCACTCTGGCCAGGGTTTTCCTTCCCTGAGATATTGTTCCAGGCCAAGATGGGCCTTATTGCAGAGGCCTGCAGGCTCACCACTCCCAGTGCCCATAAGGGTCTGGAATTGTTGGGCCACATGGCAGCTTGTACTTACATGGCCCAGCATGTGCGTCTCCGCCTCAGACCCCTTCACGTATGGCTGGTGTATGTGCCTGGGCAGAGTGGTCAGCATTCCAGACAGCATACTTTCATCCCTCATCTGGCGGCAGGACCCCATGTCGGTGTGGGAGGGAGCTCCCTTCATGGCCCAGTTCTTGTTGGTGACCCATCTGCAACACTTCAGACTTGGAATGGGAAGTCCACCTGGGTACTTTCAGCACTCAGGATTGTTGGTCTAGTTGCAATGTTCCCTGCACATCCATATCAAGGAACTCAGGGCAGTCTGACTAGCCTGCCAAGCCTGTTTACCTCCATAGGGTTGTTCATATCCTGACAGATGGCACAGCTAGTCTTCTACACCAGGAGACAGGGCAGAGCCAGGTCATTGGTCTGCCAGGAAGCCCCCTGGCTCTGAAACTTCTCTCTGCTGCACAGCATCCATCTTGCAGCCACTCATTTTCTGTGGACCAAGAATACTTTGGCTGATCACCACAGCCAGATGCTCTTGTCTCACAACTAGTGGTTCCTTCATTTGGAGGTAGCCAGTTCCCTCTTACGCAAGTGGGGAAACTCCCTGGGTGGATGTGTTTGCCTCCAGGCAGAATAGGAAATGACACATCTTCTGTTCAATTTGAGATGTGGACAGAGAATCCTTGTAAGATGCCATTTTGATCCCATGCTCGGGGGCGATGATGCATGCCTTCACTCCAGTACTATTGCTACCCAGGGTCCTTACAAAGATCAAATAGGACATGGTGAGCATTATCCTCATAGTGCCAGTGTGGCTGCACCAACACTGGACCATGTGGTGGTAACCCTGTCCCAGCTGACCCTGATGCTCCGGTCCGACTTGTCCCAGTACTACACCAGATTCCTTCACCCCAAGCTGGTGGTGTAACATCTGGTGGCTTGGCTGCTGTGTGGCTGAACATGTAGGAGTGGCTGAGGTTCAGTGTGTCCTGCTGGGAAGCAGAAAGCCAGAGCGACCTACCTGGCCAAGTGGAAACAATTCACCTGCAAGATTGCAGACAACAGTGTGCATCATGAGTGTGCTGTGCTGCAGTTTATTCTGGACTACCGCCAACATCATAGGCTCGAGGGCTTGTCCCTCTTATCAGTCAGTTTGGATTTGACTCAGGATAACATGGCCAGATTCCTAAGGGGCCTAGAGTAACTCTATTGCACACCAAGGACTGCATTCCTCCATGGGACCTGAATCTGATGCTGTCACAGCTCATGAGCCCTCCCTTCAAGCCTCTGTCCTCCGGCTTTCTCCTCCTTTCCTGGAGGGTGTGTTCCTGGTCATGGTGGTGTTTGAGATTGGGATGCTCATCTTGGAGCAAGATCCAGCTAAGGCCACACCTGGCTTTTCTTCCCAAGGTAGCCTCTCAGTTTCGTTTGAGCCAAAACACTCACTCACTGGTCTTCTTCCTGAAGTCACCTAAGTTGGAGGAGGGGCGCAGGCTCCTTGCCCGGGATGTCAGAATTCGCTCCCTGAACTCAGAGCTAGATTTCTCAATAGTTTCAGCTTCAACGGTGCTTGTTTAAGTACCAGATTTATAGCTGGGTGGAACAAGAGTTCCACAATTTAACCATGGCTGTGATAGAAGGCACTCCTGTGTCTTGATCAGCCAAGCTGATTAGTAGAAATGCTGCTGACAACCCAGGCAAGAACAAATGAGATGATTAAAGAGCTCATAAATCAGTGCCAACCACAGTGTCCTAGCTTATTATAGACAGGTGCAGAGAGACCGAGAGTGTGAGAGAGAGACCAGGGAAGGGGGAGAAGATTGCTTGTCTTTGGGCACCCTATGTGAATTTTTATACTGACACACTAGGTAGAGAAGCACTAAACATTCTTTAACCCTTCCTTTTTTCACATTTTGTTTCTCTCGTCTCTGATTTAACACAGGAAATGGGCCTGAAAATTCTATCAAATAGCAAAATAAAGAGACCCCTGGATTGTCGTTCCTATCCCAGCTGGGAAAATATGAGTAAGGAATGCCTTCGTTTTTATTTAATTGTCCAGGTCTATTAAATTCCATTTTTGCTCTCTTAAGCCACGTAATTGTCTGGGAATGAAGGGTTAATTTGCCTTTGAATGTCCCCTTTCCTCTTTTTGACTCTATTGTCCCAGTACCATCCTTTTCTGTGAGTAAGCAGCCAAATATCAAGTATTATCTGACTTTCCAGGGCCACACATGCTACCTGTCCCTGCAGTGGATTCTCAGACTCTGTCAGTAGGGAAATCGAGTGAGTCCCAAGTCCGTGACTTTTTCCCTGAGACTTGGATCTGGGAGCTGTATCCCATGAAGTAAGTTTTGTATTTAATTCCAGGGAGGCTGGGGAGAAATGCAAGTTACTGAAAGGCTTTGTGCAGGCAGTGTTTGGAGGTGCTTCTCTGAACCAAGCTTCCCAGGCCTTGAGACCTGGCTGGTTAATAGTCTAGAGAGAAAATCTGCTGGGTTAGAAAATGGACTCTGTGGGTTCCCTTCCTGGTCCCAGTACAGAGTAATTGGGTGAGCATGGGTGAGTCACTTCCCCTCCCCATGTATCAGTGTCTCCATTTGTAAGGTGCCCTGCCTCTCGGGGGCCATTGGGAGGTTTCATGCATAGAAAGCTCTTTGAGATTATACTGAAGCTAATCATAGGAGCATTAATTATTGTCAGAGAAACTGAGCATCACTCTTCCCCCGTATCGCGGTCTGATTTCTCTGCAGCTCTTCTGGTAACAAGCAGGTCCCCGTCACCCTTCCTGACACCATTACAGAATGGAAAGCCAGCATGTTCTGTACCTCGGAGAGCAGTGGCTTTGGGATCTCACCTACGGTGGGGCTGGTGGCCTTCAAACCTTTCTTCGTGGATCTGACCTTACCCTACTCGGTGATCCGCGGGGAAACATTTACATTGACTGCCACTGTCTTCAACTACCTGAAACAGTGCATAAAGGTGAGTAAACACTCCTGCTCTGGTTAGCCTCCTCCAGATCAGGCTTTATCTGCGTGCCTGTAAATTCTTCCCCTGCCCCCAATGGATCAGGAGTCAGTATCTAGGGAGCCGCATGGATTTTACCCTAACTTATTTTCCAGGGAACAGGAGGTAATCCCATGAGATCCAGAGTAAGTTTTACCTCCATTACTAGGAAGCCAGGATGAGAAGCCATCAATGGAAGTGTGAGTGTGAGAGTGTGAGCTCTGGCGATCCAGTAAATTCCCTATAAAAGAAACTGAGTCAGCTCAAGTGTGTCACTCTTTCTCTCCCCCCACTCCTGGTCTCTTGTACAGATCCAGATTACACTGGCCAAGTCAGAGGAGTACCAGGTGAAGCCATGTAAGGGCTGTGAATACACCAGCTGTCTGTGTGGTGATGAAGCTAAGACCTATTACTGGAACGTGACCACTTCCAGACTGGGTAAGGAGAACAGAGAAGATGGGGGAAAGAACATAGCAGTTGCTCTACCAGTTCATGCCATTGATCAAGTAATCAGATCCCACCTTGTAGTACCTTGACCAGGCATCTAACAAGTCCAATATCCTTCTGCCATCTTGGATGAGGCCATTGCTCCACCTCTAGAGCTCTGTTGCCATGCCTCATTTCAGAATACAGTAGTTCCAAACTCTGTTTGTGCCAAACTGTGCATAGAGTGGGGAGATTCATTTCACTTTGAGCCTTAGGTGGAGAGTACATTTCCCTTCTGTGGGCTTGTACAGAACTGCAGCTGTCCTGTTTTCTTTGCATTGGCCCATTTTGCCTGGTGGCACAGATTTGGAATGGAAACTCTGAAGAGCTTGTTCGTTTTTTTTTTTCTTTCATTGGCAGGTAAAGTAAACATCACTGTTACTACAGTGGCACTGCACAGCAAAGAGCTCTGTGGTGGTAAGAAAGTGATGGTGCCAAGTAAGGGCCATAGCGACACCTTAATCAAGCCTCTCCTCGTCCAGGTAAGCCCGCTGATCCGGAGAACGGGGGGAACCGCACTTCCATCCAACTTCTGTCATAAATTTCATAGATTCCTGGAACTCAGACTTCGTCTACACTAGAACTGAGTTTGGTGTAACTTACAGTGCTCGAGGCTGTGAGTAACCCACATCCCCGGGTGACATAAATTATACCAACCTGCATGCTGGCATAGACAGCACTATGTCGGCAGGAGAGCTTCTGCAATAGACACAGCTATCACTGCTTTTGGAGGTCAAGCTGAAGGGAGAGCTTTCCCATTGGTTTAGCATGTTTTCCCCAGAAGCACTCTGGTGGTGCAGCTAAACAAACACTGCTATTGCACTTCTACTGCAGCAGTAGCTTCAGAAGTGGAGAAGGCTCTATATGGCCACATCTTTCACTCTTCCCCTCCCCTCCAGGCATGGTGCAGGATGGTCTGTAAGAGTAATTTTAAATGTCCTGAACAATGCATGTTCCACCCCATCCCTTGCGGAGATCTTTCCACATCTCACTAGATCTACCTGCTAGGAAATGTTTCCTCAGTAGCCAGCTGGAAAGAGGCACCTTGTGCTCACTGTTATTCTCTACTCTCAGCTATCCTCTCATCTCCCCAGCCTCAGCTCCTCTTCTGTGGTGGAGTTTATACCTCTAAGGTCGTATCCATCCTCAGTTGTCATTTGCCGGAGTTGTATAGATCCAGTTCAATGCATTGCCCCTTTTAAACAAATTGGTCTAGAGTCCCTCCATTGCTTGTAGCCCTTTTCTGAGTTCCCTCCAGTTGAATGGCATCTCTCTGGTCCTGAAGTAAGTAGGACTAAGACTGAACCCACTATTCTAGGTCAGAGCCATATATCAAGGGGCAGACCTTCCTTGCTCCATAATGTGACCACTGTGAACCCAGAGTGCCCAGAGCTGACTTAAGGTGTCCCAGAGTGGCCTCAGGCCTTCTCTCTTCACCCTCATACCACTTCCTGCTCTGTGATTTGATCCGCCTGTGCGTGCAGAGCTAAGTTACAAAGTCACGTGAATGAGAAGACTGAACATCTGTTGATTTCGTGTCTATAACCAGTTTCTCTGTGTTTTTACTGCCAGCCGGAGGGCATCCTGATGGAGAAATCTCACAGTTCTCTGCTCTGCCCAGAAGGTATGGATTACATTGGAGCAGGGGAAGGGATCACACGTCCTTTTGGGTTTGGTGGGAGAGAGTCACCTATCCACAGGCACATGGGTATGGGGAGGAAACGCTGGCTGGACAGCACTTACTAGAAGGATTGGTCTTTGTCTCGCTGGGTCCTGTGGTTTCAGCAGGGACTAGAAAGGTGGGGTGTTCCCATTAGAATATATGCATGATGACCTGCTCTTCCTGAATGGGTATATCTCCCCTGCATTCTGGGCCTCTTGAAGTAGATTTTGGGTGCAAGATCTTGAGAGGAGGAGGGGGGAAAACAAAACTGGATTCTTGTTCTCATTTTTCTTGTAATGGGCAATTGAAAGTCACTAATCAGTATGGGACCCAGAGAGATTTCCTCTTTTTCTCTCCCTGCTGCTGAAGTTATTAGTCCATACACCAGGAACTCAGAGGGTTTTGACACTCTTAGCAAAAATGGGCTTATTATGTTTCTAACTGTTGGGTTTCTCTTACTCCCTCCCTGGGTTGGCTCACTCCTTTTTCTGTGTGTAATTGCCAGGGAATTCTGCCTCAGACTCCGTGTCCCTGCAGCTCCCTGAGAAAGTGGTGCTGGATTCAGCCAGGGCCCATATGTCTGTGCTAGGTAAGGCATCTGTCTGGCAATGACTGAGCACAGAGCTGTGTGTGTGGAAGAGGGGTGTCTGAAAGCGTAAGCAGTCTGGATGTGGTCTTTTGAGTGAGATGTTGTGGGGGGGGGCTGGGTGCAGATGAAGGGCAAACGCTGCAGCAGGACTGTGAGGAGGAATGAGGCTTGTACACAGGTAGGTGCACACAGCTGCCGGTTTGGTTATGTGAGGGGGAGATGTAAGATGGGAGAGATCATAAGCAGACAAGCTAATGATGGGATGTGGGTGGAATGGAGAATTTGGCCATGGATAGAGGGAAGCCATGGGAAGGGGCTTGCAGGATGAATGGGTGCAGGCAGGGATGTAGAAGAAACATGGGACAGGAGAGTGCAGAGAGTGGTGGTGCAAAAGAAGAGAAAATGGCTTTGGGGGGGGAGGGGCAGAGTGGGGGGGTGCAGGCCACGTTAGGGACTGAGTCATGGCATGATGTTTCAGAACCTTGATATAAGGAGGAGATGTATCAGATATAGATGCACAGTTGTCCAGGAGGGTCACCTTTGTCAACATGTGTCTATCCAGGTGACATCATGGGGACGGCGCTGCAGAACCTGGACCAGCTGGTGCAGATGCCCAGCGGCTGCGGGGAGCAGAACATGGTGCTGTTTGACCCCATCATCTACGTGCTGCAGTATCTGGAACAGACAGGGCAGCTGAGCAAGGAGTTGAAGGCAAGAGCTGTGGGTTTCCTGCAAACAGGTCAGTTGGTTTTCTTTCTCCTCTAGGTCTCTCCCTAACCCTAGATATCCACCTTGACCTCTATGCTCAACAGATGTGTGGATGGATCGGGGCGGGGGCGTTATCGCAAACTCCTGGTTGCTGAGTTGGTTCTAAAGTTGAGCTATAGCACTGGCTCAGTGCCCAGTGAGCTCAGGAGGTCATAAATGATTCCTGGATCTTCTTCTAAATCTCCCCTTGGTTCAGAGTGGCCGGTCAGTTGCTGTTTCAAAATCACCCAGACCTGATTGACTCTGCTGTGTCTCATCTTTTCTCCTGCCCAGGGTATCAGACACAACTTCAATACAAACACAAAGATGGCTCCTACAGTGCCTTTGGAGAGAGTGATGGAGAAGGCAACACATGGTGAGAACCTTGCCTCCCCCAGTGCTGGTACTGTCTTTCTTGGCACCCAGCACCCCCTCGGTAACCCTGTCAGTATCTTACTAAGCACACTGCCTCCTCTCAAGGACTTTCTTCTCCCCCAGGCTGACAGCGTTTGTAGCCAAGTGCATCATTCAAGCCCAGCAGCACGTCTTCATAGATAACAAGACCATTGCAGACGCCTTGCAGTGGATAGCAGGGAACAAGCAGGCCAACGGCTGCTATGCCAACGTGGGGAAACTCTTCCATACAGCAATGAAGGTAACAGTCAGCAAGGCCTGGCCCCCATTCAGCAGTCCCTCTTTGGGGGGTAGTGGGGCTGTCGTTAACTGCAGGGGCAGGGCTCAGTGACACTAACCCAGACCCTGATGGCAGGCCCTGTGGTCATATCCTTTGAGCCTAAAGTAGGGCCTACTGGCATGACTCCTCCCTGGCTTGGAGGGATATGGATGTTTGTGTCCAGATCATCCCCCCTCTGTTAGTACTAGGGGTGTGATTATAAATAACCATGAGCCCCTCCCCACATCTGTGCCCACTTTCTTCTGGTCCACTTCCCCAACACCATTTCGTCTCTTCCCCCCCGCCCCCAGACGAGAATGGGACGGTCCATCTAGGATTCTCTATTAATTGGCAGGGGGAAGAGGAGTTTACTGATTTCTCCCATGTTTGAGGCTCATTCTCTCAGATGGAGGAGAATGAAACAAAAGACAGGACTATGAAGCACTTTAAAGACTAACAAGATGGTTTATTCGGTGATGAGCTTTCGTGGGCCAGACCCACTTCCCCAGATCAAATTGTGGAAGAAAATTGATCATGCCAATTTTCTTCCACTATTTGATCTGAGGAAGTGGGTCTGGCCCACGAAAGCTCATCACCTAATAAACCATCTTGTTAGTCTTTAAAGTGCTTCATAGTCCTGTCTTTTGTTTCAACAAGGCCAGACGAATACGGCCACCTCTCTATTACTATGGAGGAGAATATTCTGTTCCACCTTTTCCTCTGGTACCTCCTATTACCTGTGTGACATACAATCCAGACTGAGTAGCTGTGTCAGCCCAGCTCTATAGCTTCGGGTGCCTGATACCCTTCTTTGCTACTGTAGCCTCCAGCCTGGACTGTTCACAAACAACCTCCAGCATGTAAGTCCCTCCCAGCCATATCTCTGTGTGTGCTGCAGCCTGTCAGCTACCCTTGGCTCTTACCCTGCAGGATAACCTGCTCTGGTATCCTTAACACACCTCCCCAGCCCTAGATCCGCCCCCCCATCCAGAAGTAAATCTCCTCTACTGCCCAGCCCCCTTCTGGACAATACAAGCCTACTAGAAATAATATACACACAACTTGCAACTCCAGTGAAGTTTCCCAAATACTTCAATTTAAACACTAGTTAGATAAAATAAAGCAAGTTTACTAACTACAGAAAGAGATTTTAAGTACATACAAGTCATGAAGCATAAAGTCAGAAATGGGTACAAGTAAATAAAGCTGAAATGCAACTGGTGCCTACTTTTTTAACAAATTTCCTTAAATTCAAAGCAAAGTTTTCTCACTACATGCTTTCAGCAGTCTTACTAACCCAAACTTCTGAGGTCAGGACCACTCCCCTCAGAATCAACAGACTTTTTTGTGTCACTTCAGGTACCGTAGATGAGAGTTCAGGAAAGGGAGTGTGTGCAGGTTGGGGTGTTTGTTCTTCCTGCTAATAGTTTTCAAGGACGAGACAAACTATTTCCCGTGGAGTACCAGGAGACACAATATCTGGGGGAAAGGGGAGGTTATTCCATGCTGCTCCCCCCCCCTCACCTGTTGGAGCTTCCCTTGTCTCCTCTTCCAGTTTGACTCTGTTTACTGCTTACATGCAAAGTAAGCAGAGCTAGTTTTTTTTTTTCAACTTCAGCTTCATACAGGGAAATCTTATATCTTCACATACAATGTTGCCACCTGTGTTTCACCACAGCAAGAATGAGCAGCAAATGGATTTTTTCAAAGGACACCTCGCAAGGCATACTTTCCACACAAGTTACTACAGTCATATGTCAGCTGTGGCCACATTCTGTCACAAGGTGCCAGATAGCAGTTGTCATTTGGGAGTCTCCTTCTTAGCCAACCTCGTCCTCTCATTTATATTCCCTTTTATTCAGCTCTGGTGAGGCCTTATCTGGAGTACTGCATCCAGTTCTGGGTCCCCCACTATAGAAAGGATGTGGATGCATTTTGAGAGGTTTCAGCAGAGGGCAACCAAATGATGAGGAGGCTGGAACACATGACCTATGAGGAGAAGCTTACTTAGTCTGCAAAAGAGAAGAGTGAGGGGGGAGTTGGTAGCAGCCTTCAACTACCTGAAAGGAGGTTCCAAAGATGCTGGAGAGAGGCTGTTCTTAGTGGTGGCCGATGGCAGAACAAGGAGCAATGGCCTTAAGTTGTAGTGGGGGAGGTCTCGGTTGGATATTAGGAAAAGCTATTTCCCTAGGAGGGTGGTGAAGCGCTGGAATGGGTTCCCTAGGGAGGTGGTGGAATCTCCATCCCTAGAGGTTTTTAAGTCCTGACTTGACAAAGCCCTGGCTGGATTGATTTGGTTGGGACTGGCCCTGCCTCAGGCAGGGAGCTGGACTTGATGACTTCCTGAGGTCTCTTCCAGCCCTATGATTCTATGATTCTATCTGCAGGGTGGGATAAATGACGACATCTCTCTAGCTGCTTACATCACTGCCGCGCTGCTGGAGGCAGGGAAGCCACTCAATGTGAGTACAGTGCTGCCTGTGCGCACCCTTGCTCACTCCTCTCATCCTTTAATGCTCCATGGATACAGCTCTTTCTCTTTCAGTGACTGCTTATGGCTGCCATGGAGCCAGTCTCTATGACAGAGGCAGGATTTGGACCCTGTGGGACTGTTTCCATTTTCCTCTGCTTCATTCCTGTGCTCCACTTTTCTCCCTATTCTAGGACCCCATGGTGAAGAACGGTTTGGAGTGCCTCAGAAATGCTTCCTCCAGTGCTACTGATGTGTACACCCAGGCGCTGCTGGCATATGTCTACTCGCTGGCGGGAGACTCTGTGACAAGGCAGTTACTGCTCACCAAGTTGGACCAGCAGGCCATCAAGTCAGGTACCACCGGGCAAGAAGCTGCCTGACTCTAAGCACTGCAGCACCCATGACTATCACACAAGTTTGATCAAGGCGTAGGGCTAAGATGCACTCCAAAATCAAAGCAATTATTGATGGAAAAGCCCAGGGAAGAATGGTCCTTGCTGCACATGTTCTAGAATTTTGTTCACTTGAGAAACTTTTCTTTCTACATCACAATACGTTTTCCCTTTCTTCTTTTCATTCCATCCTCCTCAGTCATGTCTCGTTGCACCACTCTAAGTAATTCCCCTCACCTCCTAAGTGCATTGGGTCTGTTATCAAGTCCCTGCACCCTCTTTTCTGTCTCTTAGCAAAGCTATACACTACAAACTAAACTGTACATTATCAAAAGTGGCTCTAAGTTTCAGGTGTCTCAAGTCAGGCACCAAACCGTGGAGACTCCTAAATCAGTGTAGACAAGCCCTCGTTGGCTATTCTTGAAAATAAAGGTTTTGGGTCTTTTTAATCTTTCCTCATAAAGGCCTCTCTATAGCCCCCTTATTTCTGTTGCTTGTTTGTCAATATTCTTCTCCTATAATGTGGTGTTCAAAGCAGTAATAGTCTAGATTCAAGTCCTCTGAGGAGGGATACTGTCACTTTCCTGCTCTGGGATGTGAATGTGCTACCCAAAACTGTACTAGATTTTTTGTTAAGCCTGTCACTGCAAACTTTTATGTAATTTGCTGTCTGCTTCCCCTGTCAGGCTGGTTCTGTCCCCATAGGTTGTCTGTGTTTGGAATGCTTGGAATGATTTCCACCTCATTAATTTGTCCCAGATTGGTCTCGTATTAAATTCTGCTTGTTCCTGTCCTTCAACTGGCTTTGCTGATGTTGCATCAGGGTGTGACCTGTTTACATCACACGGGCTGCTAAAAGGCATGGGTGGTTCCTCTTTCCTGACCATGGCAGTGATCTGTTGTGGTATCTCTGAAGACTAGCGCTTAATCACAGAGTGCGTTGACACAACAGCATTCCTGGGAGGTTGATTTCCCCATCCAGATTCAGTGTGCAGGTTTTTTTCAATGTGGGATGTAACCATGAATCCAAAATGAAAGAGGGAAGGGGGGAGGGATGGCTCAGTGGTTTGAGCAGTGGCCTACTAAACCCAGGGTTATGAGTTCAATCCTTGTGGAGGCCATTTGGGGCAAAAATTGGTCAGGGATGGTACTTGGTCCTGCTGTGAAGGCAGGGGACTGAACTTGATGACCTTTCAAGGTCCCTTCCAGTTCTAGGAGATAGGCAATCTCCATTAATTTAATTTATTTAAAGTGGATTCTGCAGTTCCAGACTCCAAGCAAGTCTTATTCTGAGTCTCAGGTTCTTGTTTCTCCTCCCCTAGGAGGACAGATTCACTGGAGCAGGAAACCAGCCCAACCTCCCACTGACTACAGCTGGTCCCAGCCCACGTCTGTGGATGTCGAGTTGACAGCCTATGTATTGCTGGCTCTGCTCACTAAAGAAAAAGTGACCAAGGAAGAGAGAGCTTCTGCCACTGGCATTGTGGCATGGCTGGCCAGGCAACAGAATGCCTATGGGGGTTTTGCTTCCACCCAGGTAACAAACAGTTTATCAGAGCGAGACACCAGGTCTATTCAGGGAGAGCTACAGCTTGTGATCTCCCCTGGGGCTGAATCTCTGTGCTAGATTCCTACTATGCTCAGAAGCTGAGTGTGAACCCAGCTTTTGGTGCCCTGAGGAACAGATCCCTCTGCACTGTGAGGCTGGGATTGGTGATGTCTTGGTGAAAGGATCCTGTTGTTCTTGAGGGTGGGCGGCAGGGAATCCCTGTGCAAGTGCCCCGAGGAGCAGATCTGCAGCCGTGACATCGCTGCCTTTCCTTTCCCAGGACACTGTAGTTGCCCTCCAAGCTCTTGCTAGATATGGAGCAGTGACATTCGTCAAATCTGGAAACGTCTCTGTGACCGTGAAATCAGACAAGAACTTCCAGCAGTCCTTCCACGTGGCGCCCGCCAACCGACTGGTGCTGCAGAAGCAGCCTCTCCCTGACATTCCTGGAAACTACACCATCCAGGCAGCTGGCACAGGCTGTGTGTATGTGCAGGTAAGTGGTGGCTTTTGTCAGAGAGGCCCGCAGGAGGTCCTGGAAGTGGGCACTGCCTGGCTGGAGTCACTAAGGAATGGGACATGCAGCCTTTCATTGGCTGTAGCTGAGCCTCCAGCTGGAGGGACTGTGCAATGATGGATAGATCCTCCTTTTGCAAGTGCTTGCTCGTGTCCAGTCCACACTAGGTGTATGTGCTCGCCATGTGCACCCATGCTGGAAGTTTTCCCCTTCGCAGTGCCCATAGGGGAATGCTCCTGAAGACCCGTGGAGTGGCGCCTCCATGGTGCTGTAGAAGAGGCGCAGTGCGTGCTCCTCCAAACCGGGCTCCTTCTTGCCACCTGTTCTGATGCTGGAACATTCTGTGTGAACTTGTTCGTGTCGTTTGGCTAAATGGCCCCTTTTCCCTCTTTCACTTCATGCAAATAGTTCTCGTAAGTTAGAGTTAGTAGTGGGTCCCAGGTGGGATGTTTGCCTGGAATCTGGCCATGCCTCAGTCTGGTGGGTTTAAGCTCTGGGACCGCTTTGTGTCCTGTGTCCATCAGCGACCCACACAGCAGCTGCTTGTGGTGTCTGGGTGATGTACACATCAGTGACTGGCGTTCCATTTTGTAAATTGTTCAAACCCAGCACTAAAAGGGAGCTAGGCATCCATCTTTGGCTCCGGCACTGGAGCACCTTTCTGACTCGGTGCCGAGCATCGCGGCATCAGTGTGAGCATCCAGCCAGCACGCGTCCCCCTCACAGTTTTCACTGAAAAAGGCTAAAGATTTGCAAGGGGCAGATCTCCCACGTCCCATAAGAGACAGAGCTGAGGAAAGTCATGATCCTTTTGGGGAAAGTCAACTCCTCTGCCGAGGTCCCAGGCACTGGCTCAGGCTGAGTGGTCTGGCCTAGCCCCATCCAGGCCTGTGACAGTGGCGGGGGCTCTGGCTGCATAGAGGTGCTGGCCACACAGGAGGCTCTGCAGACAGGCAGGATATCCTGGTCTTACTGGTGCCACCCATCTTGGCTTTACTGGTTTCCTGCTTGAAGGGGAAGCTTTGGTTCTTTCAGCACTGTTCCCAGTCCAAGCGAATGTCCCGCCACCACTCACATCAGTGGAGCCAACAACCCTCAGACGTGGGGAAACAGGCCTACAAGATCTATTTTACTGGACCTGGATTCCCGCCAGTCTGGGCCAGAACGGGTGTCACCAGTGCTGTGGCACTGGTGTGTGGAGGCACACACCTATCACAAGGACTGCAGTGCCAACCTTTCCTTTCAGCCTGGCCGCCGTGCTGGTTGTGAAATGTTCTGGGGATGGAAACCACTGCTCTTGCTCCATGGCCATCTGTCTCCATGGCTGTCCTCCTGAACAGGGTGGTGGGTCAGATTTCAGAGGTACTCCAGTTCCCAGTCCTAGCCCAGATCACAGTGCCAATCACACAGTTGGGCCATAGATCACCAGGCCTCCATCACTGATCCCACTCCTAATGCTTGTCACTGGCTGCCTGTGCTAGAGGCTCCTCACGATCTGACCACTCAACTTCAAGCAATGTAATTGGCACTGTTCAATACAGTCATTGCCAAATGGGCTTTTGGTCCCCTCTATGTCAAGTTCAGAGTGGTGGTCACTGACACCAGGCCAGGTCTTGGTGTAACATCAGAGTCTTGGGTACCACAGGCCCATCAGGGCCAATGGCCTCCAGCCTGGTACTCCTGGCTCCCGTGGGGTTTTTCACAGCCAACCCAGCACTTCCAGTTGGTGGCAGGGGTAGCAGAAGGCCCACTGGCACTGGCATCATGGCCTCTAATGGTAGGGGAAGATCATGCCATGGTGCATGGGGCCATAGAGCATGGCAGGCGGAACCCCCCAGGGAATGTGGAGCTTCCTCTGGTACCGATTTTCATCCTCTTCATCCCCAGTGATTTTGGCCCCACTGCACCCGGTGTCACCAAAGGATGCAAATGCCCAGCAAGAACTGCTGCATTGGGTAGCAGCAAATCTGGGGCTCCAGGAAGAGGAGTTGGAGGAGCCCACAGACACCCTGTTCAATGTCCTCTGTTCCTCAGCACCCGCACAAGTAGCGCCACTCCTTCACAAAGGGGTTCTGAGGCTCACATAGCCTTGCAGCAGACATCTGCCTCCCTGGCGCCCAAATCTAAGAGCTGAGCAGAAGTACTTTGTTCCTGCTAAAGGTTATAAATACCTCTACAACCATCCTTCCCCCAAATCCCTGGCTGTTGAAGCCGTTAATCAAAAGGTGAGGCACAGGCAACCTGGAATTATTTGGGCATAAGGTTTATTCATCATCCAGTTTACAGCTCACAGGGATGAACCACCAAGCCAACCTTGGCCCAGTGTACCATGCGAGGCAGACTGGCCAAGCTCAAAGTGGTCCTCCTGGACTCTTTGGAAAAGGAGTTTGGGGCATCCTCGATTAGCATGCTGCTGCAGAAAGAGCTGCCCTCCAGGCAGCTTCAGCCATGGCCAACTCAGTGCCCTGAACGATGGCCTCTACCATCTCAATGCAGCAAGCGGCCTGGCTGCTCCTTTCTGGCCTGCCCTCTGAGGCTCAGCAGTCTCTGCCGGATCCCCTCTTTGATGGGGAGGTGCCGCTTGCAGAGCAAACTGTCAGTAAGTTGCATGGCTTTGGACAACGGCCTCTCTCCATCGCACTCGCTGGTGCCAGACGTCCTAGAGCTCCTGTAACACCCCCCCCCATGATCAAGGTCTTCCACATTCCTCCAAGAAAGTGCCTCTCACTGCCATTTCTGCTTTCTATGCAGGGGCAGATGGTGTTCTCCCACGAGATATCTGGCTGGTTCCCAGAGAGTTTAGGGCAGGTGTATCCACAAATAAGGGAGCTAGTCCCACTGTGGGACTTTAACCTGATCCTCTCCAGGCTCACCGCACTACCCTTCGAGCTGTGTGGCTCCTGCTCCCTGTCCCACCTATCCTAGACAGTGACATTTCTTGTGGCAATAACACCAGTGAGGCGTGACTCAGAGCTCAAGGTGCTGACCTCGGACCTGCTGTACGCTGTCTTTTTATCAAGGATAAAGTGCAACTACAGCCTCCCACGGCCTTCCTGCCAAAGGTCATGCCCTTCTTTCACCTGGGCCAAGATAGTTTCCTGCCCATGTTCTGCCTCCAGCCTCACAGGACAGTGGAGGAGAGATGTCTGCATGCACTTGACGTGCGGCAAGCTTTAGCCTTCTACTTAGAGCATACCCAGGTCTTTGGCAAGTTGCCACAGCTTTTAGTCGCCAATGTGGACTACATGAGAGGCCTGCTGGTCTCAGCGCAGTGGATCACTGCATGTACATGCACCTGCTACGGGCTGGCTCACATATCTCTGCCTCAGATCATCCAAGCCCATTCCACCAGGCATCCTCAGCATCTTTCCTGGTGCATGTGCCTGTCCTGGACATCTGCAGAACTGCAACCCGGCCCTGGGTCTACACATCCATGTCCCACTATGACATCGCTCAGCAGGACAGGATGATGTGTCTCAGTCAACATGGCCATGTACTCCTATCCACCTCCATGGGTATTGCATGTAGTCCCCTAATGTGGAATGGACTTGAGTAAGCGCTCGAAGACAATTTCCATAACTAGTGCGCGTCGAGAAGTGTAGTCCATGTCCAGTCCACATCCTGCCATCCTTCCCCCCGGGTGGAGTTTAGGCAAGACGGAACTTAAGGTGAGGGGCACACCATGGAGGAGCTACTCTGAAGGTTGTTAGGAGTGTTCCCCAATTGTACTGCCAAGGGAAAAATTTCCAGCATTGGTGCACGTGGCAGTGCATGCTCATGTGGTGTGGAATGGACATGAGTACCACCTCTCGAAGAGCACTAGTTATGAACCTCTAGCGCACCAGGTCAGGGGAGTATGTGCCAACACTGGCTAGCTCAGGGCCCATTTGGAGGAAGAGCACTAGCAATGATGCAGGCTCATGCCAACTTGTTTGACACTATTCATTGGGTACTTTTGTGTCTCCCATCAGACAGTTCTGAGGTATAACGTGCCTCCTCCAAAGAATGCAGAGACCTTCACCTTGAGCGTGAAAACAGGAGAAAGCAAGTGTGAGATGCAAACACGCCCCCGCTTCCTGTCTCTCCTCATCAGTGTCAGGTGAGAGTGGGGAGCTAGAGAGAGGAAGGGAATAGAGGGGGAGGTGAAAAGGCAGCATGCTGGGGTAAAGGGAAGAGTTACAGTGGAGGACTCCACCTACATGACTTCTTGCCTTTCACCTCCAGTTATATTGGGAGCCGTGGCACCTCCAACATGGTCATTATCAAAGTGAAGATGCTGTCTGGATTCTACCCAGTCCGGGGCACGGACTACTTTGTAAGTCACTTCCCTTAACCATTGGCTCATTCTCCATGGTGAGTAGCTACATGTGTTACATGGAAGCCATCTCAGACAACAGCTGGACAGCATAGACAGTGATCCCCTGCAGCTGCTTACCATTGGCTTTGTCACTGGTGAAAGAGTCAGTTCCTGGGAGTACTTTCTGATGCTCCCTGACACCGTGAATCTTTAAACCCATGATCTTATGGCTTGTTTCACAATCACTGAGTGGGTCAGTGAAACTCCTTGGGAAGGAACTGGGCTATTGGATGAGATTCAGACCAAGTGCTGTGGGGGAAGGGCACTTTTCATATCCCTTGCTCCCCTAGATGTTTTCCATGGGAGAGTGGGCTGGGTGTGGGAGTGAGACTCTAACACTGCTGTTCTCTGTCTCCAGCTCCAGCAGCAGCCATTTGTGAGGAGAGTGGAGATTGGCGGGGAAGATCTCACCATCTACTTGGACCAGGTTAGTGCCTGAACAGGGCAGTAGCTTGGTAGCTTCCACACAGACTCCCATACACATTGTTACTGGTAGGTACCATGCCAGCAGGTGTGAGAGCTGGGCCCCGTGAACCCAACTTAGTGTTCAAGTGTCCCAGGCAGATGACATGTGTGCTCACACTGGAGGGTGTGATCTGATCTCAGACAAGGCTGCTGTCTTCCTGTGCATCGCTGAGACACCTCCCATTCCTTCAGCTCACCAGATCAGACACCCAGCTCATTCTGTTCCCAGGACTGGCAGCTAAGGAGCAGGAGGAATGACTGTACTAGCTGCATCCAGCCTCAGACTCCAGCAAAGTTCACTCTCCTAAATCATCTCTTCGTACGCTAATCTGAGACAGCTCCATCATGGTGTCCAGGCCACTTGACAGCTTCCTACTGTATCAGCAGCTGATTGTCCTGCCCGTTGCTGGTGTCCCCCAGCCACTGGGATTTCACCCCTTCCCTCCATTTTTGGTGTAGAACTTCATTCTCCCAGCATTTCCCAGCCCCAGCTAGTCAGCCAATCACATGCCGGAGCCAATCTCCGCTCACAAGCGGACTTGGAGACTTAGCCATCACAGCCACATGCTGGACTGCTCTCCACCTCCATAGTGCCAGGAACTTTCTCTTCTTTCTCACTTAGCTCTGTGAGACTGATTGTTATCACTAACCCTAATGTGCTCTCAAGGGTCCAGCCCCCTCCTTTGCCAGGGACAGCATTGACCTCCCCAGGACCAGGGGTCAGTAGTCTGGCAGAACACTATGACTACATGCCATCTCTGTGACAATAGGTCCCCAAATGTCCCCTGTCGAGACCATGCTGCCCATGTTGGCCATCATGGCTCTTGGGAGAGCTGAGACTGAAGGGCTGGTGGCTAGAGGAAGGAAAGGATTTGTCAGGGAGGCAGGGAATCTGCTCCATTCTGACCGCAGTGGGTCAGCACGTGGGCGCTGATGCCACAGTGGTGACTGTGGCAAACAAAATCCTTTCATGGCCCTCCCTGTCACCTGATCCCAGAAGACATAGCTGCGCTGAGTTCCGAGCTGCCTCCTCTTTTGCTCTGCTCTGCGCACACGCACACGCGCGCGCACACACACATACACACACACCTCGGTGTGGCAGTGTGGGGCCTGTCCATCCAGCTCTGAAGACTCATTCTTGCTTTGCTGAGAAGACAGAGTGAGACCATGAGAACCTGCAAGGCCAAGAGTCACACATGCAGGAGAAGCAAGTAGCGCCTTTCCCACTATGTCAGAACCGACTCAGTATCTCTCTCTCTGGGACACTAGAAGGCACTGAGAGAGCCCTGTGCCTTCCCTTGTGAAACTGGTTCTTTGCCACTTTCATCTGGTCTAAGCTGGTGGGGAAATGCTTAGCTCACCACAGAGCCTCCTTCAGAGAAGGTTTATCACTCTAACACATGCAGTAGTCCAGCTCATCTTCAAAATGTCACACACCGTGCATGAAGCTAGCCAAACATTCCTCAGGCAGTGATGGCACCCAACACAGCAAGCCTGGGAGGAACTGAAGAGTCTGTTACATTGGCCGTGTCTTAGCTATAGGAATTATTTCAAAGTTCTAATTCTGACATGACCTGGTCTTGTCCCCATAAGCGCTTTGTTACATCAAGATCCTTCATTTGTTCAGGAAGTGACTGTCTTAGCCATCATGGCTAACTGAACTGATGTGTATAATGAAGAGAGCTAGAAAAAAAGAGCCTTTTCAACAATAACCCCATGCCTTTGGAACACCCTCCTACTGGCATCAGGGAAAACTCTTTCTTCAGATCATGCTAGAAGACTCACTTTTCCAGGAAAACATCCCTGAAAGAATCAAAGCTAATAATAAGATTAGCAAGAGGCTCCAACTTAGTAGGAATGACTAGATCAAAAAGCAGGACAGAGAATGTTCCTGTCACTTCTGGAGAGATCCCACTGTTTCTACAGTCCTCGCTCAGAGCTTCCATACATGTCACTAGTTATCTATGAATGTTGTTAGCTATCACAGATACACGTTCTAAAACTCCTGAGTTAAGATCTTACCACTGCCTCCGCAGTCAGTTCTGCCCACATCTAAGCAAACATACACCCCTGACATGCAGCAGTTTCTGCTCATGTGTTGCTGGTAATGTAAGAGCAGGGGGCACTCCAGGTGCAGCAATAGAAATTCACTGGCAAAAGTTCTGTGGGGAGCCCAGGACTGGAATAGCAGGGGGCTGCAGGAAAAGGCCAGGACCGCCAACGAGGAGGAGAGGAAGGCAGGGACCAAAGGGGGAAATTGCCTGGGGCCTGGTGGTTTCAAAGGCAATGGACTCCAGACAGCAATGGGGACGGGGGGAGGGAGCACAGGTGGCACAGAAGACTGGCCGATTGCCCCATCACTTCCACCTGAAGTCCTACTTCTTCTGGGAGGATGGAGCCACCTCCCCATCTTGCTCAGGGACCCTAGAAGCTGGACAGGTGGTTCTGGACAGGACTGAGGGACCCTGGCAGGGCTGTGTGGGGAGCCCAGGGCTGGAATAGCAGGGGCAGAGATGTCAACTTTCTAAGAGAAAAATATGGAATGTTCTTGGCCTGCTAACTCCTCCAAGGCCCTGCCCCTGCTTGCTCCATTCTCCCCCCGCCACCTCTGTCACTTGCTCTTTCCCACCCTCACTTTCACTGAGCTGAGGCAGAGAGGTTGGAGTGCGGGAGGAGGTCTGGGATGTGGACTCTGGCTGGGTGGTGCTTACCTTAGGTGGCTCCTGGAAGTGGCTGGCATGTCTGGCTCCTGGGCAGAGGGGCTGCCACACCTCCCATTGCCTGCAGTTCCCAGCCAATAGTACTTGTGGAGCTGACACTTGGGGGAAGGGGATTAAGCCTAGGAGCTGCAGGGGCTTGCTGGCTGCTTAAGAGAGCTGCACAGAGCCAGGGCAGGTACGGAGTCTGCCTTAGCCCTACTGCACCACCCACCAGATTTTTAGTGGCCCAATCAGCAGTGCTGACCTGAGCCACCAAGGTCCCTTTTGGATTGAGCATTTGAACTGAAAATTGGGTGCCTGGTACCCTAAGTGAGGGTGTGTGTGCTGCCAGGCAGGACTGAGGGGCATTGGCAGTGTTTGGTTGGAGGGGAGGGGGCTCCACAGTGCCAGTCCAAACCAGACCTTGTCTCTTTCATTCAGTTTTTTTTCTCTTTCTCTTTCTCTTTCTCTTTCTCTTTCTCTTTCTCAGCTGAATAAGGAGACTCAGACGTACTCCTTCACCATGAGCCAAGACATTCTAGTGAAGGATCTGAAGCCAGCAGTGGTTAAAGTTTATGATTACTACCAGCCAGGTGGGTTAGGATATGATGTGTGTCAAATTCTGGCAGTTTTGCCAAAGAAATGTTGACTGCAGATTTCAGGTGGTTTCATGGCCTTTTGAATTTCAGATTTCTTGTAGATAGTCTACAGAAGAGAAGAGTGAGGGGGGATTTGATAGCAGTCTTCAAGTTCCTGAAGGGAGGTTCCAAAGAGGATGGAGAGAAGCTGTTCTCAGTGGTGGAAGATGGCAGAACAAGGAGCAATAATCTCAAGTTGCAGTGGGGGAGGTCTAGGTTGGATATTAGGAAAAACTGTTTCACTAGACAGGTGGTGAAGCACTGGAATGGGTTACCTAGGGAGGTGGTGGAATCTCCATCCCTAGAGGTTTCTATCCTGGCTGGGAGGATTTAGTTGGGGCTGGTCCTGATTTAAGCAAGGAATTGGACTAGATGACCTCCTGAGGTCTCTTCCAACCCAAATCTTCTATGATACTTTCCCAAAAATTGGGTGGAGGGGGAGAGGTGGGAAATATAAATCTCCTTCTACTTGAAAGGGATTTCTTTCCACTGTGAAAAGGATCCCCTTCAGGGCAAAAGTATTCAAAAAATCACAATGTATTTCTCATCAGAAAGGGTCCTATTTTATTGGGTGACAAAATACAAGAAGTGTCATATGAAGTCATTTAACCTCTACTGTGAATATTTCATGCACTTCTAGAGATTGATTTATTTGTTCCAAATGAACTGTAGTGGCCCCTGAAAATAAGATCATCTTGTCAGCAAAATTCTTCCTCTTCCTACATTCCCCCATGGAATTCCCCTCCAAAATACGAATAAAATAAATGTACACTGTTGAAGGCTTGGATGTAAAATTGCCAGGGGCAGGTTTTCTGTTATAAAAATGCCACTGCTTTAAACTCCTGTTTGTCACAACTGAGCAGCACTAAAAGTGGGAGCTCCCTAATACTGGAAAGGGAGATACACAGCTTCTCAATGGAACCCAATGTGCCCTTTGCTCTAGGAGGTCCTGAGATCTAATAGGAAAATTAGTTCATGTTTGGTTGTTCGTTTCTCTCTGTCTCTGTCTCTCTGTCTGTAGCATGGAGAGAAAATTCCACTCAGGGTAATTAAGACCCTTAGATGTAAAGGCAGAAGGATACAAACGATAGACCCAGCCACCCTTTTGAAAATTCTGAGGTTTTAAACATAGACTTTCTGATGTTTGGCACATAAACAATGCCTCAGAGACCATCTCATCTGAAGAAGTGGGGTTTGCCCACTTCTAGATACTAGATGGATGGCTTTAATAAACATGAAAAATAACAAATAGTCTTGCAGCACCTTAGACTAACAAAACATGTAGATTGTATCATGAGCTTTCGTGGACACCACCCACTTCTTCAGATGAATGGAGTTAAAGGATCCAGGGGACAAATAAATAGCAGAGAAAGAGAGAGAATGGGGCGAGAAAGGGAAGGAAAAAATATAAATATTGCCAATTAAACTGTCCACAGTAAATGAGGCCAATACAGTTGGTTCTAAGTACTCTAACTACCCTGTGCTTGGCTTTTTATTTCATTAGGGTGCGGAATGTAGCGGTCTATCCAGTTAAGGTCTTTGTTTAAACCTCTATTGCAGGCATCAAACTTGTAAATGAAATGAAGTTCTATAGCTTCTCTCTCCAGTTGGTTTTTGAAATTGACTTGTTATAATATTGTCACTTTTAGATCCGTTAGTGATTGTTAATGGATTAGTGAGTGCAATATTTGTTAGTCTCTAAGGCTATGTCTAGACTGCAGAGCTTTTTGAAAAGCTCTGCCATGTCCAAGGAACATGTCCGCTTTTTTGGAAGTTTCCAAAAAAGCAGATGTGTTCTTTCAGCATCTCTGTATTCCTCTCAGTAAGAGGATTAAAGGATGTTCCAAAAGAGGAGTTTTTCTGAAATTTGGCCCCATGTAGCTGGGCCAAATTTTGGAAAAGCCTCTTTTGGGGAAAAAAGTGGAAAAAGATATGCAAATTGCGGTTTGCAATTTGCATATCTTTTCTCAACTTTTCTCAGCAGGCCAGACATACCCTAAGGTGCCACAGAACTACTAGTTTTTTAAAGTTATGGACCAACACGGCTGCCCCTCTGACACTCACAGGGATGTTAGGGATAAAGCTTTCATTAGCAGTCTTTTGAGACAACCTACTTGATGCGTCCATCCCAAATTCATGCTAATACTGTCCATGTGATCAAGAGGTTTCAATTCGCTTATATTAATTTTAAACTGTTAAGTCTCCTCCCTTTTGTTTCTTGCTTTGGTCAGAAAGTTCAGCCAACCAAATCATGGCTGAAACTGTAACCCTCCCCCAAGTCTCAGAAGGTTGTCTGGGGATTGGGCTACTCTTCATTTCTCCCTGCTTATGTCTGGCGCTGAAAGTAACGGTCTGTTTCTTCTGTTACAGATGAGCAGGCAACAGTGGAATACACAGACCCCTGCCAGTGAGGTGAGCAGGGGGCATGGCTCTCATGGAGTACTATGAACTGTCATGGTGCAACTAAAGCAAGCATAGACATGAGGTGGACAAAAATGAAATACTTCCCTTTGTCAGAGGTGATCCCAATTCTGGGCGGGTGGTGTGTATGTGTGTGCTGTGCTGCAGGAAGCAGTAAGGGTCTCTGTCAAGTGGTCCTTTCCCATCTGAGTCACTGCTGACCTGTGCCCCCCAGTGTGTGCTAGAAGTGCTGTGGGTGACTCGGTAGGGGTGCTCTCCCCTCTGATTTAGAACATGCCCTCAATGCTCCAGTGTAGGGGCACTGTGCTACAGGGAGGCCATGGCAGATGTAGTAGAAGGTTTTCTCTCCCTACGAGTCACCTATCCCGATGCCCCAGCGTGATGCTAAGGGCTGTTGTGCTGTTGGAAGTGCTGTCTGTGGGATAAAATAGGAAAACTGACTGGCTGTGGTCAACAAAAGATCCCATCATACTACTTACAAGAACAGACAACTTCTTCCCTTTCTTAATATGTTGTGTGGTGTTATTTAACACCTGTCATAATCCACCGCAGGAGTGGCTGCATTCAGCCAGACTTTGTAAATTGCTCTGAGACCTTTCAGAATGAAAGGCACCAGGGATATGTATGTAAATTTGCTTCCTCTTCCTTCAGGTGACCGACACATTGTCCCTGGCATGGTTCACAGGAATTCCTGGTTTGTCTGCAGCACTTAGCTTCTGCGCTAAGGGAGAAGACTCTCTCTATCAACTCTGCTCACATGCTGCTCCAGAATGCATCAATTCTCAACTGCTCCTCTAGCCAGTAAGGGGGTGAGGAAGGAAGAAATTATAGGGTGAACACAGGCAACCTCCATTCCTCACTGTATGAAAAGTAGCACAAGGGCTGACAGCCAAGCAGAAGGCAATCTCAAGGGAATTCAGAAGGGAGCCTGGGGTGGTATCAAGTCAGGTATCCTCATTATCATTCTCCTAGAGAGGGCTGAGAGGCTACACAGATGCAAAGCAAGGGAGAATTCAGGGCAGTGAATATTTGAGTATTGGGTTGATGGAGCTAGTTGTGGGGCTAGGAAATACCACAGAGAATTATGCTGAACTGGGTGCAGGGTTAGTTTGCTAGAAGAGGTCAATCTCTCAACATGGGGCAATGTTCATATGATATATTTCCATACTGAGCTAACAATAAATTGCCATTTTGGGTGTTTTTTGGCATCTCTGTCTGGGACCTATCCCGATCCTGCTGTTCTTGAGTGGGCAGCTACTTACGGGATGCATCTGTGGTCACTTGTTTACCCCATTGTCTGCAGTCTTTGTACAGCCTTGCTGCCTCCCTAAGTGGCTGAGATTCAATAACGAAGTATGTGGCTGTGAGCGTTGGGAATGTGTCTGCAGTGAGAGTAGGCATCCTGGTCTAACCAAACCCTGGTCCAGGCTGTCCTGTCCTCCATGTAAAGTCCAGGGCTGCCTGTTCTGTGGCTATTCCACAGTCCTGTTCAGGGATGTAGAGTGGGCTTCTCAGCAGGACATGGCTGGGCTGGCTAAATTGCAGCAGAGGAATCCTCGTGTGGGGTGGTATTGCTTCTCTGGAGTCTGCTGAGAACCAGATGTGACTTCTGGTGTTCTCAGTTGGGCTAGTGGTACCAAGAGGGCAGACTCTTCCTCAGTGCTGTTGCTCATTTCTATACTGCACCCCATCACCATGGTATCTGGGTGCCTTGTGGCTCTATCAGGTCCTGGGTCAGAAAGTGCCAAAACTGCGGCAGCTGTGAAAGAAAACATAATTTCTTTTTCCGGTACCTTCCATCTGAGGGTTTCTGAGCAATTTACAGACTTAACTAACAAAACCTCCCACCCCCCACATTGGGAAGCAAATGAGGCCCTAGCCCAGAGGCTGGAGTGATGAGAGATACTCCTGTCTTCAGAAGGCTTGGTTGCCATGCAGGCCTAAACAGCACAATGGAGCCAGTTCCTGCTGGGAGTTGGACACCTCCTGAAGGCTGGATATTACTGCTGCTGAGGCAAGGCTGGGAGACTTGACAAAGGGTCATCTCCTACCTCTGAAGTGGGAGGGGGTATTGGCAAAAGGTGAAGGGCAGAAATACTATGAAGTGGCCACGGGGTGATGGGAATTGTCCCCAGGTTGAAAAGCTGAGGCCTGCAATGGTAGTAAGAGGATGTGCAACTGTCCCTGGGATGCTGAGGCCCACGGGGAGATAGGAATGAGGGAAAGTAGCCCTCCCTATGCCTGTTTTGGGGTTTCCCCCCCCTGCTGCTTCTCTCCCCCTTTTTTTCCTTGTTCTTCATCTTCTGGGCCTTCTACCTAGAAGGAGCAAGAAGATTGCCTGTTGTTCTGTAGTGCCTTTAAGCAAGCAAGAGCGCAGCTGGATGGGAGAGTTCAGATGTACCACAGGAGCCTGACAGATTTGCCTTTTGCTTCCTGATGAGTGGATCCATGGCTTGGCTTGTCAAGGCTGATTCTATGAAATATCAAACATTAGAGAAACGTCTGGAACTGCCCATTATTCAGTAAAACCCCTCGTAGCTTTGCATATTATAGGTAACTCCACAGATTCCTGTACAGATACCCAGAGATTATGCAGATGATTGGGTACATTACCTATTACCACACCTGGTTAGGCTGCCAGTAAATATCCCTTTGTGCTAGGTCCATTCAGTCCCATAAGTGCCAGGAGGTGGCAGAGTTCCAGGTGGGTGCACTGTGACTACAGCAGATACTGTGTGGTGTTGATTCCAATTCGCCTGGAGAACCCAGAATTGAGCAGATAGTGGATCATGTCCTCACAGATGAACTGCTGTGTAATGGAGCCGCAGGCTGGTATGCACAATGCCACTGGGTGCAAATGCTATTTGCTCTAGCAAGTGCCTGTGCTCAGTACACTAAGCAGTCCAAATGAAAACAGAAACCCTTTTGATGAATTTTAAAAAAGAGGATAAATGTTGAGCTTGGAGAGAAGAGAAACGGGTTTCTTTAAGGCAACAAAAGCTAGAGCTCCAATCAAGTTTGCTACTCTTCAGCTTATACCTTGGTCTGGGACAGGGCTGGGCAATAATTTTTGATGGGGGGGGGGGAAGAGCACTCCAAGAATTTCGAAAGTGGTTGAGGGCTGCACTCTTCCATATCAATGGAGGGAGTTTGGGGTCTGGGATGGAGTTTGGGTACAGAAGGGAGCTTGTAGTAAGAGATTGGGGGGCAGGAGAGGGTGTGGGGTCTGGGAGGGAGTTGAGTGAAGGAGGCAATTGTGACCTGAGTTAGGGGACTAGGGTGCAGAGGTTTGGATTGTGACCTTGGGCAAGAGGGGATTGTGACCTGGGGCAGGGAATTAGGGTGCAGGAGGAAGTGGAGGGGTTTGGGTCATGTCCTGGGGCAGGGGATTAGGATGCAGGATCTGGGAGAGGATATGGGGACAGAGGGTTTGGGTTATGTGGGGTAGGAGGGTAAAAGGATCTAGCTGGGAGACTTACCTGCTTAACTACCAGCCAGCAGCCTTCCCAAGCAGACTCCCTGCCTGCCCTGTCCCACCCCACCCCTGCACTGGCTGCAGGGGCCATGTGATTTTTTTAATAGCTGCAAGCCTAAGGGGAGATGCTTTGCAAGATGCCTGTTGACAACAGGCAGCTCCCATTGGCTAGAAACTGGCCAATTGCATTGTGCTGGGGGTGGGAGCAGTGTGTGTTTCAAACAGAGCCTAGCATCAGATGTTTTTTTCAGTAGCATGTGAGGGGCAGGCAGGCAGTCTGCCTGAGACTCCCCACTGTGACCGTGGGCCAGATCTGAATGCTTGGTAGGATGGATTCAGCCCACAGAGGGTATTTTGCCCAGGCCTGGTCTGGGCAGTTAATCTCTCTTCAACTGCTGAGCATTTTTGCTCTAGTGTGGCCAGATGTCTACCAAATTCATCCCCTCCCGCACAGCAGAGGGAAGGGATTGCATGTGGGAGGTCTGAGGAAGGGAGGGTGAGAGAGAAGGGGTAAGGACATGATTTCTTTTCACACCTTCCCTGGGAGAGAATCACCTTCATCTTTCCTCATCTACCTCTTCATGTTTCTTGGGGGCTGTATAATGCAGCTCTTCTGGATTCCATCCCCAGGCAACCGGCAAGCTGGCTTTTCTTTAACAACTTTTAGCCTTTTGCTGCTCAATGACCCAGGCCTAGTCTCCACCAGTGGTGACTTGTGCCCCTCAGTTCTGGCTGCTGAGGAACTGTCCCTTGTTTCCTCCTGTGAGTGCTGGCCTGTGGGATAAAGTTGGCAGCTATCACACGATTTAGTATAGGGACGTGATGGCTCAGGGATTTTTGGAGAATGGGGTATGGAGCCTTTCACCCAGGGTCCAGGCAAACTCCTCACAGCAGCAACTAAACAGTTTCCCTTTCTTACCACAGTTCTCTTGATGTTGTGGCTTTGTGGGTCTTGATCAAATTCCTAGTGGTTCAAGCATGCTTTTTGTTGGGCGTCCTAAGGAAAGAAACCAATGTGGAATGAGCTCCATGGGCTGGACTCCTATCTCAGATGAAAAAAAGCATTGCAACAAGCATTGTCTTGCAATTGTAACACCTGTGCATCTCCTTGTCTCCACACACATCGGCCACCTCAGATACTTTTGTTGGTTTTAGTGCCTAGGTCCAGGTCTTCAACTCAGATCTGGTTGAACTGGCACCACGTACAATGGTCTCTTCCTGAGTGCTGATGGGAAGCCACAATGGTTGCCTCTGCCCCACGTCAGCTGGTTCTCCTAAGACCCAAGTCTATGAGAGTTACTGCTCTGGATCAAGGAGCGGCAGGGGGAGAATGCCCCTGGATAAACGAAGAAGAAAAGGGCAGTGAACAGACTTGGGAGTAGAGCCTGGTTCAGTCTGTTCACCTTGTGTGCTTTCCTTGGTAAAGGGTGTTAGCTGTGTAGAAACCCCTGCTCCTAGCTGTCACTTATTTGATTGATCCGCACATGTGGCTTTTCCAGAACCACAGCTCTTACATGGCATGTAGCCTAGTGCTCTCAATCATGTCAGCTGAGCCCCACTATCCTTGTGCCACTTGCTTGGCCTGTGAGCAGGAACTTTGCTTCTCCATCAACTTCTGGACCTAGTTCTGGTTCCTCCTCATTAATTCCAGAGTTTAGTCCAAGGTACAATGTTCAGATTTGGATGTAGGTCTTCAGCATCCGCAAGTTCGGGGTGTGTGTCAGATCCTGTGTCTCTGAGTTAGCTTTTAATGCCAGTGGCACAGGCTGGATCTAAACCTGAACTTCCACAGAGCCTGCAGCAGTGTAGGCTCTGACCCTTGTGGCCCACTATATGGAGGCTTGGTTCAGAGATTCCTTCAGTTGTTGAGCTGTGGGTCAGAATTTCTTCAATCAGCAATTTCAGGGTCTGGGAATCTCAAATGGAATGGGGATTGCCCCTCCCCCACCCTGTTCTCCTGCTGCTGTTCTCTCTCAGTCTGGATGCTCTCTTTTGAAAAAGCCCTGTTTGCATTCTTTCTCATGTTCTTGGATTTCTAGTCCTGGGCAGTGCAGCGGCAGCTGCGCAAATCAGAAAGTGATGTGTTGGGCAGGGGTGGAGTCACACCAATGCGAAAAAGAGTAATTGGCGGCAAAGGTTCAGCTTTAAAGTTTGGGTATTCATGTCCAAGCTTTGGACAAAGATCCCAGGGAGAGGGCGGCTGGTTTTTGAACTGGAGAGTTTCTGGGTGAAGGTTTTCAAACTTCACCTGAGCTAGGCAGAAATTTTGGGGCTTCTTTGTCTGGGATTTGGGTGGGATCCTCAGTTCTAGTTGGAGGGTTCAGCGTGTTGCCTGATTTTCTGGGAGATGAATAATATGGTTTAGATAATGCGGGTTATAAGATGGCCAGTTCATCTGATCAGAAGACAATAAAGTTCTGGGCCCATGAAAGCCACCAGCATGGATCTGTCAGAAACCAATAAGCTATGGCTGACAACTGCCAGCTCTCAGCACAGGTGTCAGGGCTGTGAACAGAGAGAGCCTGGGCCTGCAGCTGAGAGAGCTCTCTGACCTGCTAGTGCCTGCTCCTGCTGCTTTGTTTTCCCAGCCTCTTCTCCAGCCTTTCCTTGGCTTGCTGAGCCAGTGCGCTCAATGCCAGCCATGTCCAGCTGGAGGAGCTCCACTGCAATCAGGGACTGACTGACAGGACTGACTGATCTCCGTGGAGCTGGACTGTCAGGCCTGCGTGGAGC